TTCCTTGTCAACGACAACAATGTCTGGCCTTCTAGCTTCAACAACCCTATCACATTGAATCATAAAATCCCACAGTAGCTTAAACTTGTGATTCTCTAAAACTCCTTCAGGTTTCTGTTCATACCATTTTGTGGCTCTTTCAAATCCGCACTTTTCCGCTAACAACCAATGAATATACCTTGCCACATTGTCATGTCGTCTTTTATATTCTGTCTGTGCCAGTTTAGCACATTCGCTCACCAGATGGCTAACTGTTTCTCCCTTGTCACCGCACATTCTACATAAAGGCGTATCACTTGTTTTATCAATGTAGTGCTTGGTATAATTAGTGCGCAGCGCCTGCTCCTGTGCACTACACACTAATGCTTCAGTGCACCCTTTCAGATCTCCGTTCCTTAACCATGACCAGCTTTTTTCCCAATCAATTCCGTCAGTATTCTTAGTAAATTGCCCATGCATCGGCTTATCTTTCCATCGTTTCTCCAAGCGCCTTATCGTCTCATTCTTATGTTCATTCGGTGCTACTGCCTCCTCAGTATTCATTGCCCCAAGGTCTCTCACTTTTGACATAATATTGCCTCTAGCATGCTTCACATACCAAGCCAGGTTGTTTGTCTCATTTTCAATACAATACTCACAACTTATCAGCCCCCTACCACCCTTTTTCCTGCTAACATAAATCCTTGCTACATCGCTTCTAGGATGAAGTTCTTTACTCATTGTCATTAATTTCCTGGTTCTTCTGTCCATACTTTCTAGCTCGTCTTTTCTCCATTTAATTATTCCTGCTCCATAGCGCATCAGGGAGATTGCCCAGGTATTTGTTGCTTTAATCTTATTCCTTCCATTGAGTTTTGACTGCATGATAAGTCTAACCCTTCTGAAATATTCTCTTTGAAATATTTTCTTCATCTCCTCTTCTTTTATTCTATCCAACTCTGTTATTCCCAGATACTTGTATCCTTCTTCACCAACCTCCTTGATCTTTTCCCCATTGACAAGTTCAATCCCTGCACTTCCTGTTAATTTTCCCCTTCTTAAGGTCACAACACCACACTTTTTTATCCCAAATTCCATTCCTATATCTTGACTAATAAGGTTGACAGTAGATGTTAGACTGTCAATTTCATTCTCGTTTTTCGCGAACAACTTCAAGTCGTCCATGAACAACAGGTGATTGATCTTAACACCATCCAATGTATATCCCATTTTGACTTTTCTGAGGACTTCGGTAAGGGGTATCATGCAAATGACGAACAAAAGTGGTGATAGGCTGTCTCCTTGGAATATTCCTCTGCGAATATTTACAAGCCCTAGAGTTTCCCCACACGATGTCAGTTGTACTTTCCAGTTGGTCATCGATCTTTCTATAAAGTTAACAACATTGTCTGATACTCTATAGAGCCTTAGACATTCTATTATCCAGCTGTGGGGAACCATGTCGTAGGCTTTCTTATAGTCAACCCACGCCATGGCTAAGTTTTTATGCCTCCTTTTACAATCAGCAAGAATCGTCTTATCCACCAGAAGCTGATCCTTTGTACCCCTGCTATTTCTTTTACAGCCTTTTTGTTCTTCAGGTAACATCTCATTCTCATCCAAGAACGTGTAGACATTTCCAGAGATGATTCCTGTCAACAGCTTCCACATTAATGGCAAGCAGGATATGGGTCTATAGTTATCCACTGCATTGCCATTTTTGGATCCTTTTGACATAGCACAGTTCTGCCGGTGGTCATCCACGAGGGTATTTCTATTTCATCATTTATCAAATCATTGAGTTGGGCAGCAATTCTTTCGTGTAGAGATGTAAGTTTCTTTATCCAAAACCCCTGGACTCCATCAGGGCCAGGAGCTTTCCAGTTAGGTATCTTCTTGGCTTGCTGATTTACCATTCTAGTTGTTATTTCAATGTCATTTTGTGATAGATTAGGTTTGTTGTTTTTTAACTCCTCTAACCACTTAGCCTTTTTATTGTGCTGTGTTTCGTTGTCCCATATGTTCGACCAAAATTTTCTACTTTCATCTGCATCTGGTGTTGTATTCTCTTTTTTGTCTTTACCCTGTAGTTGTTGATATACCTTCTTTTGGTCATATTGAAACATTCGATTAATTTGATATTGTCGCGTCCTTTGCTCGTACCTTCTTAGTTTGAAAGCCTTGGCTTGCATTCTCTGTTTCAACTCTTCAATTACAGTAGAGATTCCTTTTCTCGTGATGTTATACTTTTTTGACAGTTCATGGTATTTCCCTTTCTTCGATACTTCACCTCTCTTTTCGCGCTCAAGTATGTTAATGTGCTTTCTAAGTTCATTAATAGATTCGCTAATTCTTCTTTTCCACCATGGTTCTCTTGTCTTATTTTCTATCTTTGGTTTCCCTATGCCTAGTTTCCTCGCAACATACAATGCAACAGCACTGATCAGTTTGTTTGTGTCAGTTATGTTTTCCGTTCTGATGCTTATCAAGGCGTCGTTTACCTCCTTAACAGCCTCATTCACAGATTTTCTGTCTGCCTTTTTCAGACTTCGTGATTGACTTATGTTCCCTTCTTTCATGATTTCAATAATTTCTTCTATCATTTTTGTATTCGCTTCGCTTCTCTCACTTCTCTCCAGGAAAGTTACCACAGGTTCTATTTCAGGCTCAGTCACTGGTATCTCATTAATTACAGTCTCCTCTCCAACGCTACTATCATCTATCACCCCTTCCTCTTCTGTTGTAACTCTTCTTTTTATTTCTTCCAATTCCACATGAGTCAGCCAACCGTTCTTTCTAATCATGCGAGCTTGGTCACATAATCTCTGTTCAGTCAGATTGAAGCTATGTCTCTCTCTCCGAATGTTATGCATTCTGCGTCTATAGCCTCTCACTGGTTTTCCGTCATCATTTACAGGCTTACTCAAAAAATAGCACTCCATTACTGCTACATTCATACTTTTCGACCATCCAGTTGGTAGTAGTAGGATGACGACCGGGCCCACGCTGCTCCTCCATGGGACACCTGCCGAGCGAGAGACCTTCACCATCAGTTCCAGTCTCCTTTACGCTGTTATCTAAATCACTGTTTTGATTCATCTCACTCATAAAAGAGGTCGTTCTTTGTAGCAAGTTCCCAACTGGTATTTTTTTTGTGACACCATCACTAGGGGGGTTGCCGACCAAGGCTAAAGAGTCCCCCTTACCCATGAGACAGACTAGCCCCGCCGGATGTCAACCCGGCATTTCATGGTCTCGGGGAGAGCTAACAGGTAGTACACCTTGCCCAAGGGTGACCTGGAGGTAGTTGCGGCAAAGGGTAACCTCATTCTCCCACGTTGAAACTCCACAACCGGGTGCAGTTTTACGTCATACCCAGGACGACTATTATTATTATTATTATTATTATTATTATTATTATTATTATTATTATTATTATTATTATTATTATTATTATTATTATTATTATTATTATTATTATTATATATTCTGTCAAAAGTTTCATGGCATTTTACTGTTGCAGATCTACCAAAGACCTGGGTTGTCCAAAACCTAGACAATCTTGTTTCCAATTACATTCGCCAGTGGCTTGATCTTCCTGTTTCTGCAACATTGAGTGGAATAATCCTCTCAAAAAATCAGTTTGGCCTAAATCTACAACTGCCTTCTATCAAATTTACGCAATGCCAAACTGTCTGTCGCAATGCCCTAAAATCTTCTCCTAATATTGACATTCAAACCCTACCAGTCATGGCACGAACCTACAGTACGACATCTATCGTAATACTAAAGAGGTATTAAAGGCTGTCAAATCAGACAACAAAGAACGTCTCTCCCAAAACTTAACATCTCAGGGAGCCACAATTACCTTCCTACTGAAACATTCACTGGAAAAGCTGAACGGTATTTGGTCAAGTACACAGAGCAATTTGCCTAGTAACATCTTTAACTTTACCATCAAGTATCTTAACAACACTCGTAAAAATCTGCTGAAATGGAACCTTAGTCAAACATCTGACTGTGAATTCTGTCTTCTTTCAGAAACACTTCTACACGTTGTTGCTGGATGCAAAGTGTACCTTGACCAAGGACGCTATACTTGGCGTCATAATTCTACATTAAACTTTCTAGCCACTTCCTTCCAAGCAATAAATGGGTCTTCTCTCTACGCAGATTTACCAGGCTTTCTTTCCCCTTCTATCATAACTGGAGATCAACTACGCCCTGACTTACTTCTCAAAACTAAGGAAAACTGTCTGTACGTTTTAGAGCTAACCATAGGCTTTGAAACAAATCTCAACTGCAATGCTGTCAGAAAGTCAGGGAAATATGCCACCCTCGTATCTGACTTAAAACGTCAGTTTAAGTCAGTCTCGTTTATCAATCTTTCCATCGGTTCACTTGGCATTTTTGGCGACTCCTGCAGCTCATTCATCGACATGTGTGACTCTTTGTCCAATAATCATCAACAGAAACGCTACCTCATCTCCAAACTTACAAGCATCTCCATTCGCACCACATACTATATATTCTGCTGTAGAAACAAAACTTGGACTAATCCAGAGCTACACCCCTTTTAACAATTTTTTTTTCTCATTACTACGATGTAATAGTTTTTTATTTTGTAAACACAGGCTAGCCAGTTACAAATTACCTTGTAATAGTGAGATTTGTAATTGTAGTTTTAACAGGAATTCAAAATGAAAAGTTTCCATTATAATTATTATTATTATTATAGGCTCACTGAGTGATTTTCTGTGGCATGGGGCAAACAGAAAAATGATAACGTCCTTAACATTGATGAGAACTTTTTTTATATCTTGTTGGAGTCTTCTCAGCTCAGGAACTCGGCAATTTTCCCCTCCTGCGCCCCCTCTCAGCGGGCCTAGACATATTTCCTGATGAAATATTCAGCACGTTCTGTTTTCTGACACAACTGTATCTTGCAACTGCTGAAAGAACCAAAATCTGTTTAGATACAGATGGCAGGCAAATTAGGTGAATGAGGTAAATTTTCTTACATATACAGCCGCCTATGTTACATGGCACTGAGTTGACGTTGGTGCCTGGGCAGTAGCTTCCTCCGTTCGCCGGCGGTGGGTTGTTGCAGTGTCTATACTGGTGCATCACTCCTCCTCCGCATGCTTTGTTGCAACCACTGAATGGCCCCCATCCACTCCAGCCTCCATCAACTTTGAATAATAACATATATGTGAGAATCATATAAGAGTCCTTCAGTGAATAAAAGTTTATGATAGCCCCTAAGGAGATGAGAGAATGCATAAAAGCTTCTGTATAAATAAAATGGAGTGTGCTACCTTCGCTTTTTTGCTGTTTAAATATAGCCTTCTTCGTGCAAAGGTGGCAAGCAAAACAACAAGCCGCAAAAATAACCCTTCAAGCAATTTCTAATGATCATTTGAGCAAAAACAATATTCTGTGCACCACAAAAAATTGGACAGCAGCTCATCTTATGGAATGCAGTGACGGCGCTGCAGAGTGAAAGGGTAATGGGCGTGATCAGAACCCAACTGTGAACTGTGTGGTTCTTTTACTTCTTCTGACGTCATTTTGATACTATGCCACGCCCATTATCAGTTGGATGGTTGTGAGTGTTTCTGCTTAGGGCTCGGGGAATTGTTGGAAAAAATAACTCTAGAAACGAAGTTTGAAAAGTCTTCTTTGTTAAAGAACTCTTTTCCCGTGCAAAAGTTTGGGGGTGGATTTTTCTCCACACCAAATGTGTTTTGGTTTGAAACATTAAAAAATCAAGCAAATGGAGGCAGGTGATTGGCTAATGACATTTTGTTAACAAAACCGCTGATTGGTCTAGAACAAAATATGCTCTTGTTACTTGCATACCTGAGGCCCCCTCATTTCTGCATCCAGAAATAATGCCAAATTGTTTGGGTTTATATTAGATTGGCAGGGCCGCAGGGAGGGTTAAGGGCCTCGGGACAAAATGAAAGATAAAGAGCAAAGCAAGCCGGAGGCTACTCTTCTAAGGGGTCCGAAAAAGATTTTTTGCGACGATGGTTGCTAAAATTGCTGCCATTTTGGTTGCTGAAATTGCGATGGTGGGTGGCTATTACTTCTTTTTGGTCATTTCAATATAGTTGAAACATAACTGGTATACTATCGTCATAATGCATGAACAGTTCTTAACTATAAAATGTGCAATTCTTTACAAAAAAATCTTGAGAAGTGAAAAACGTTTAAGTACTACCTAAATTTGATAAAAACGGACATGCTGTACCAAATAGATTTTCACTATTCAAATACTTTGAAAAATTGTACGCATAGCAATCAAAATGCAACCTTTCAATGTCAACAGAAAAAGTTGTTGATTCGATGTTGGAAGCAGCTCGTGCAGACGAAGGGCTAGATGTCCCAAAAAATTGAAGACCAAGAGAAATCAGTCAAGTTTATCTCTATCTTGAAGTTAAATCCAGGAAAAGGCCTTGAGTGGATTCAAAATTAATGTCAGCTTTATTGTTTTTGATAGTGTTACAGCAAAGGTAATAATGCGATTCATGTTAATTGGCGAGATATTGGAGGGGCTCATTATTCTTTGATTATACAAAAGGTTGAAGGAAGATGACCTTGCAAAAAGTGCCAAATCCTGCACAGCGTAAAAGGATGACATATCTCCTAACATGACATCCCCAAGGAGTCAATTTTTTTTAGAAGCATCAACAATTTTAACTGTTGGACAAACTTGACTAACTAGAAAATTTCCTAGAGCTACTTGCTCTGTTTGACAAACATGTTTTGATAATAGAGAGGCCGAATTTTTACTCATTACTTTTTCAATTAGGTTATTATCCATCGGCCCTTAAAGTCGTGGGCCCCATAAAAAAGAATGTGTGTCTAAAATAAACGATCAGCAAGAATTTCTTCAAAACGTTCTTAATTTGTTCTTACCTTTTGACCAGTTTTGAGGCTCGTGTTCTTATAAAATTATTCTTATAAAGAAAAAGTGTAAACGTAAATCTCTTACCGAAAGTTGAAACTCTTCCTTTTTTTCGCTGTTTTAATAAGATTAATATTAAAATTCTAACCTTTCTGAGGTTCTAATAAATTTTTTTGGTCTCAAACAACTATCTTTACCTAGATAGAATAAAGAAAAGTCACGATAACAGACTACTCGACGGACTCCAGGAAGTTCTTGCGACGAAAAATCGATAAAAATGTAGCAAACAAGGAACACCGCAATGCGATGAGAATGAAAACGCATACAACAACGCGTGAGTTGTGCTGCATCACTGTACTTAAAGGCATTGAGCCATGATAAAACGGATTGGGTATACCAAAGTGCCAAAATCCGCCGAGTCATGATTTTCATGAATGCCATGCTATTGGTTGACAACTGGTCACATGAACTCACCTCGTACTGATTGACAAAACAATTTAGCATCAATAGCAAGTTGTCAACAACGGATCCAAGTATCACATGAAACACCAGCGATCACGCCGAAACCAAATGACCCTCTATAGAAAGGGCCTATTTACCATGACTCAATGTCTTTAAACAAATATGCTAGGGCAAGACAACATAGAAAACACCACAGGGTGATTAGCAAATAGCTAAGGTAACTTGATATTAACAGCCTACTAAGGACATACGTGTGGGACCACCCGATTCTAGAAAAGGGGGATCTGCGCACTTTCCCCGCGGGTATTAACTCGAATTAAGCGATTAATTCCCATTAAATACACGTAAATTAGTAAAGGCTAACATTTTGCCCCGGCATACGGGACTTGATACAACTGTAACGGTCAGGGTTCTTGTCACGACGGTGAAGAACCAGCTAATAACCAAGTTCGTTGGTGGAGCGATGGGCTAGGCCAAAGGGCCTAAGCCCCGATTAAGTAACGCACAAAAGATACTCGTTCTTTGATGTTTTCTCTAATGATTCAACAGAAAGACTAAGGCCTGGTTCAAACGTCGCACTTCTCATGTGCCGAACCTAACTCTGTTTGGAGCGACACTTGAGCATGTTTAGCGCGACTCCCGTTTCAGACGTCGAACTTAATTATATCGCGCCAATTGGGTTTTAGGATTGTTACATGGAATATCTTGGTTAAGACGCGCAATCTCAAATATTTGTTTGAAATGCATGCGCCCTTCAAGAAAGAAATGAATTCTTGGAAGGAAAATAAATTAACTATAATTATGCATTGAGTTCGGTACATGACAAGTTCGACATTTGAAACCGTGCCGTGCTGGAGTCGTGCAGCTCGGCAAGCTCTGCCGATCCAAACTAAACGTACCAAATTGATTCAAACGTCGCGCCCCTCATGTACTTAATTCTCGAGTAAGGTTCGGCACATGAGAAGCGCGACGTTTGAACCAGGCCTAACTTATATCGTTATCAACACATACTAATAACATAAACGGAAGCTAATTAACACGACAATATGAGCGTTACACTACATGTTGAAAGACAAACACATTGCCATAAAAAGAACATGTGACTTTAACAAGCAACGGGAACATTACTAAATTGAATAAATAAAAAATCCAAACCGTTACACAACCTTTGCAGGCTGGACGAATTCTTTCCGTGTCCTAGATGCGAATCAAAGGAGAAATCAAGACAAAGCACCAACTCAAGATATCTTACCTCTTGGGGGCGGTGGGGGGGTTCTACGCCGCCCCCATCTTCTTCTGCCAGCAGAACTAAAACCGAGAAAGAAAACCAAAAATAAAATTACGATTTGTGACTTCTGCATCTTCAGCATTTCAGAGAGCTGACCTGAAATCAGACTGTTTCGACTGATTCTGTGTAAAGAGAGAAAAGTACTGGCAATCGATACCCTTTTAAGTACCTGTCCATGCGATACTCGATCTCTATTCTGTGACTCGATCTGCAAGGGGAAGTGATCGAGTTTCTCCATATTGGGACCTCATGGGTAAAAACGGTACACACAGTGCTGCGCCTTAAGTTGTGCATTGATAATTAAATTCTTAAATATTCTAAGAGGCGACAGGCCTAGGAAAAAAGTGAACAGTTGATTATCCCTTCCATAAACTAGTTCTTGTTCTTGTTTCAACTTTGAATTTTGCTTTTAAAAGGCGAGTTGAGGCTTATTATAATCAACGAAACGAAACTAAATTCTGCAAAATACTACGAAATACTGCAAAATATGAAAAAATATGGTCAAAAAACAAGAAAGTACGTCAAAATTCTCAAACCATATCATAAATATTCACTTTCGTGGACCCAGTGCGGAAGACAGACTAGCCATGAGCATACAGAAAAAGCGGAAGTCTGCACTACGGACTAACAACATTCGTTGATTATCACTTTTGCCCGGCCTAAAATCGAAAAGAGGAAACAAGATAAAAAAGACCAGTTCGTTCATCTTTTGGTGGTTTCCGTACATTAGAATACCATAAATGCATCACTACAAACTGTTAAAGAGGGCGGTCTCTGCATTCAGAGAAGAATTATTTCGAAATTTCGCTGATTATCACTTTTTCCCGGCCTAAAATCAAAAAGTTTCCCGGCCTAAAATCTTCTATATCGATATCACTAACCACTTTTTCTTCTCCAAGGCTGTCAAGCAGTTTAAGGTATCGCGGGCTCTTGATGACTGTCTTTTACTGACCTTACCTTTCCTACGTTGCGGAAAAAGGATTTAGAATTACACCCAGATAAAGCATTTAAAGCCTGTACATTGAGGCAAACATCTCTTCCGAAATGGAAACAACCATTTGCGTTTTACATCGAGAAAAGCAAAAGCCCAATGCGTCTTCCTTCAGAAATCAGTCTTTTAAAATCAGTTTGCTTCTAATTTCGATACAGGAGCTCGTGGCATTTATATCCTTGCAACATGTTTTGGTAATACACTTCTAAATGACCTCTTGCACAGGTTCACCAACTTATACCCAGCTTCAGGAGCAACAAATTTGATAAGGCTGTGCATCCGCGCTCGGTACGTTGGCTTCGGCTTGATGGAGCGAACTGCTGCCATAACCTTTTCCAGATCTGTCTTCAGCTTTGTTTTCATGATCGGCGTGAAGAATTCAACGCTGCCATTAATCAGGCGATCATTTGTGAAGCGATGCATATTCTCTTCTCCTATGATCGACACTGCAAGGAGGTCAGTAGAACTTTATTGATCTAATTCTTCACCAGTTAAAGTCGATTTTGCAGGAGCAACAGAAAACCGATTGGTGCCATAGCTTTGAAGAGTTCTCTAAGGCTATCATTATGCTTCTGAAGGAGCTTTGTCCCACCTGGAATGCTGTACTTGTGAATTGATGATGACTTTACAAAAAAGTATTGCTTCAGAGGCTCTCTAAACTTGCTATGAATGTGGGACGTAGCAATCCAAGTGTTAACCGCATTAACGTTTGCTGAAGCCAGACCTGTATGGACCTGCAGTCACTTTAACTTCTTGATTAAATAGCTCTGTATGTAAATCGCAATGAATTGCAGAGAATTTGTTTTGAAATTTTCGCCAAATCCTTATTTGTTCCTATCTTGGAATGCTGTAGTTAGTTCACCCTGCAATGATTGAAGTGCAATGGGAAGCAGATGTTGGTATGTACAGTAGCGGGCATAGTTCATGTGATTCAATGCAAATGTAAGCAGAATCATATTTCACACTGCTTGCAAAAGTAGCTTAGTGTTGCTTTTCTGCACAGCTGCTACCATGCTCAACAAAGCAGACAAATCGTCCAGCTTAGCGATTTCAAGACACTTTTTCAGCTTTTTGACGATTTTCAAGAATCAACAGTTTTTTGCATCAATATGCCAGTGCTTATGGGCATTGACCCATGAGTTGATGAAAGCAACCCATCAGCACCTTGACCTGACTATACAAGTCAGTATTCGTTCACATAATTTGGTTTATCTTTGCCTTCCCCATTTCATCCGCATGAACAAAAACATGAAATATGGCAAGATCATATCTAAGAAAGAATCAAGGTATATTCCTTGCATAATGGATAGACAGGTACCTTACGAGTTATTGGCTTTAAAGTAATAAACCATATAATAACTGTTTCCTCCTGTCTCCTGGCAATGCCAAAAATATAAGCCCTTGGCCTTTGTGCAAAGCTCGGTTTCGTACCGACGGCTTTAGGTCCGGTCTTCGGAAACAATTATTTTAGGATTAATCAATAAAATTAAAAGAATAATAATGAAAAACTTTGGATGGCGAAGGAGCAGCTTTTTTTCCGTTATAAGAAAGTGTCAAGCAAAACCATGCATGATGTCAAATTGCGATAATGCCAAATTGTGCCTAGCAAAATCAGAGTCAGCTCGCTGGTCGACGGCCATTTTGAAAGTGATGATGTCATCATTGATATTTTTTTTTTTACTATATATTATCTTTTTTTTATTTTTTTATATCCAGATAAAATGTTACAATACAGATTACATTCTACTTTACTTGCTAATTACTCTACGATACTACAGGTACGATACCATGGAGAGCAATGGACAATGCCAACCCCATGGCCATTACATGTTACAAAAAAGGAAAAGAATTATATATATATATAGAAGATTACAGGTACAAGATAATACGTTTTGAAAAACTGAAAATAGCAAATAGGTGGGTGAGGCACAAGATTTATTGAAATTTATTGAAAATGGAAAATATTGAAAATTCATTGAAAATTGCTGACATCGTCAAAATACCGATGTGTATATATCATTGGAAAGCTTTTCGTCAGGCGAGCCCGAATCTAGCGGTTAAATTGAAGTCAGACGTATACTTGAGAAGTTACACTGATTTTGAGTCTAGGAAACATAACTTTTTTGACGTCATCGGTAACGTGACTTTGATTAATTTTTGAAAATGTTGTAAGGGCTTAAATTATTCGTTATACCATATAGTTCCATAATCAACCGAGAAAAGAAAGGTTAGGCAATGCGGTCGATGGTTGAGAGGAATGCCCTGCCTATAAGAATTGGATGAAGCGAAACGGAAAGAAAAGACTTTTTAGCCCATTGACAACAAAGTTGACTGTTGAAGAAGACACAGTGGCGTACAACGAGATCTGCAGATGTCTCATAAAGGCTTTTTGGGTCACATAGAGACAGCAAAACAAACGAAAACAGACAAAAACCTTTGGATTTTTACAGCTAGAGCGCCTTCGCGATCACAACAAATGTTTAATTGGTGGCAAAACGACTAAACATTTGAAACTTTGCTCAATAACACTCAACACGACTAAACAGCACCAAATCTACTCACAAGATAATGTCTGCATGTTCTTTCTCACGTCCCTGCCTCCTCCCCCCCCCCCCATCCGTCCGAACAAGACTGAAATTTTGAATGATGAGAAATTAAGAAAATTAAATATTTGAGAACATGATTATAAACGATCTTTTAACATTTAACATTTTATTCTTAAGTGCGAAAAGCGGGTAGAATATTTGTTATATGTATTGCGGCCAACAGCTTCCTTGTCTGTTGAAGTAGATATTTTGACACTGCTCTCCATTTGAGGTTATCAGAGCTACAAATGAAAAGGTGAAACACGATTGCTTCAAAGTATAAAAAGTATAAAGATGGATCATATGCACATATAAAGCCGGGGGTAATGTCGGGAAAGGGCTTAGAGTTTTAGCCCTTATTGGGAGCCTAACACTTCTTCGAATAATTTTAATGTGTATTTACCTCTTTTTCCAGTTTGAGAAATTGATGAAATATTTAGCTTGGAGATTCTGATTACATCTACAATTGGCCGATTTTAAGGTAATATGGTATTGTATTGGTATATTTTGCATTGACTGTTACCACTGATTTCTTTAAAGAAAAAATATCTTACTTAGTAAGCTTAGATAGGATAAAAATTTTGCTAGCATATATTTTAGAAGCCAGAGCTTCAAAATTAGAAAGATTTGGGGAGAAAAATAAATGGAAGTACTTTCACTTTGCAACAAAGATACGGAGGGTTCAAGTTTTGTAGTGTGAATTAAAGGCATATCTGGTATGAAAGGCACTTTTATCATAAGAACTGGTGATGGGGGAGGGGGATTTTGTCTCGCCTATCGAAAAAGCTTTCGCGGGTACATCTCCTCAGCAAAACGCAAAACGATGTTGATAGATAAGACAATATACCAACACAATGACATCATATCGAAGAAAATGATCATCAGCTCTCATTCCATTTTCATGGAAGAACCTTGGATAAGTATTTTTTTCTAAAACAAAATTACCTCAGGACTTGCTGAAATACAATCAGAGGTTTGGCTTTCAGTATGTGCTGATTCGTTGGAGCAATAACAATTTTGGTCAACGAATCTGAAGGTAGCTGAGTTGAATCCATTGTTGACACATGCGAAGTAGCAGCTTCTTCTGCTGGTCGGCAATTTAGTTTGCCAAGAAGAGGATGCAAAAGCACATTTCTTGCGCAAATGCAAATCTGAAATTGACAAAAAGATTCAAAGTAGTAGAAAAATAGGGCATGAATCTTTCAAGACATTTAGCACATCCGTAGAAGAAGGTAAATTTGATAATGATGACTTTGTAACTACACATTACCGCAAAGGCTTTTTACCAACTCAAATACCCTTTTTGCCAAAAAAACCGGTCTCAATTGTAAGAAATTGATAATGATGACTTTGTAACTACACATTACCGCAAAGGCTTTTTACCAACTCAAATACCCTTTTTGCCAAAAAAACCGGTCTCAATTGAAGAAATCTTGGATACATGCAAGTTTGCAATTGCAAAGCAGGTAAAACCTTGAATATGACGGTCTGTATGTTGCGACTTTTGAAAACAGTGGAAGATGCACAAAATTTTACCTTGGTGTATTAAGATGCATTCTGAGCCACTCGCCGCAGTCTTAATTGTCGAAGTAGAGCAAAGACATTTGTTTGTTGACCTTTCAATAAAGGCTGACCTGTAACACTCGTGATGGCAATGTGCGTAGCATTTTGACTTGCTTGAAAACAGAAAGCTAGCATCATCTGAACTATGATACTGGCAACCAGATAGCCAATCATAATCGTTATATTCTAAAAGCGAGGAAAGAAAAAACTACTGTTTTTGGCTTCATTTACTGATTACAATTGAACTTTTTTCCTGAAAAAGAGCAAAAATGCAAAGTGATGAATGATAAAATAAGGATTAATTCAGGATATTCATATTCAAAATGCCAGCAGCACTGCTTGAGGTCAAAAGACATAGGCGGTGGGTGATATTTGTGGGTCATAGGTCAAAGGTCAAAAGGAGATCAAATCTGTTAGATTGAGCTCTAAAAATTTCCGATACAATGCTTAGGCTCATCACAAGATTGAATTTGACCCTATTGCTGTTCTGGTTTCAATCCAAATGTCCTCTACGACATTTTCAATTCACTTCCCTGAATGCAACAATTGCACATGCCTAAAAATACAAATAGCCACAGAGAAATAAAACAAACAGTGTTGTAATAGAGGGGCATGAATGGCCAGATAGCTCCCAATCGGTAGTCATCCTAAACAGCTTCAACAATGGCCATAGCCAGGGCATGAGCTTCATGAAAATACCTTGGACATATTAAACATGTTTTATACATTATTCGTTGGTAGTCATGTGCCGTAAAGCTTCGGCACCTTCGATTTCTATCTCTAGCACTTTCTATCTCTGAGGGTACAAACATCAGAATCAGCGAGCACATGGCAGGTTTTGTTAAGGTCACCCAAGTATTGTTTTGGGCACGATGCAAAACATAAAAAGGGCTTTTCTTTTTACGGCAAAAAACACTTATAAAACTCCAGGGCACACCTGTGTATTGTGAAGCCCAAATTAAGCAGCACAATAAACAAACTGCATGTTATCCCACTTAAAATGGCATCAAGTTAAATTTTGCCCCAAATGCTTTGTCAATGCATGTCGCATTTATTCAGGCAGCATATTGAGGCACAGTGTACCAAAATAAAGTGAAGGAACCTACCGAAAGCTTCACATAATGCTCCAGCGTATCCTGGCATACAAAAGCATCGTGGCCCATTTGTTGTGCTTGTGCATGTAGCTCTATTTTGGCAAGGACTTGAGGCACAATGGTCTAAAGGGATGTATAAACGCTCTAAATATCATACCAAAGATATACTCCATTTAGGCTGAAGGAAAATTACATTATGGACAAATGATTATATTTTCGCATTGCCAACTGCCAAGTTTAGTTTAGGCCAACATTAGCTTGTGTGTATCAAATAAGGTACAAATTTCAGGTAAAGAAACTTACCGAACGTTTCACAGAATGTTCCAGTGTATCCTGGCACACAAAAGCATCGTGGCCCATTTGTTGTGCTTGTGCATGTAGCATTATTTTGGCAAGGACTTGAGGCACAATGGTCTAAAGGGATGTATAAACGCTCTAAATATCATACCAAAGATATACTCCATTTAGGCTGAAGGAAAATTACATTATGGACAAATGATTATATTTTCGCATTGCCAACTGCCAAGTTTAGTTTAGGCCAACATTAGCTTGTGTGTATCAAATAAGGTACAAATTTCAGGTAAAGAAACTTACCGAACGTTTCACAGAATGTTCCAGTGTATCCTGGCACACAAAAGCATTGTGGCCCTTTTGTTGTACTGATGCATGTAGCATTATTTTGGCAAGGACTTGAGGCACAATGGTCTAAAGGGATGTATAAACGCTCTAAATATCATACCAAAGATATACTCCATTTAGGCTGAAGGAAAATTACATTATGGACAAATGATTATATTTTCGCATTGCCAACTGCCAAGTTTAGTTTAGGCCAACATTAGCTTATGCGTATCAAATAAGGTACAAATTTCAGGTAAAGAAACTTACCGAACGTTTCACAGAATGTTCCAGTGTATCCTGGATTACAAAAGCATTGTGGCCCATTTGCTGTGCTGATGCATTTTGCGTCATTAAGGCAAGGATTTATGGTGCAGTGATCTGGCAAAAAAACCAAAACCTGAACGTCCATATCAACTAATATATGTTTCTCTATAATGTTGAAAACCATGTAGCAGTTTGAATGTATTCCAAGAAATCATCTGAAAGAATCTCGATTTTTAGTTGGTAGAGGCGCCTCATACACCTAAACATAAGACAGCTACATGTTGCAAGTCGTTATGATTTAATAAATTCAAAAAAATTGACCTAATATTTTATTGTCATTTTCACTTTAATCAGCTTCCACTAGTCAATCGTTAATAACGTGAGCTTGTTTACCATTTCCACAGAAGGTGCCAAAGAAGCCTGGTTTGCATATGCATATGTTTACATCAGAATCAAGGCAACTTCCGCTGTTTTGGCACGGGTTGCTTTTACATCTGTTGCCTGCAATATGACGTGATTTAATGATGGAAAAATTGTAAACATGAAATAAATTTCTCAATAAAATTTAGATTTGTTCTAGAAGTTTCAACAATAAACTTTTAACCAGCAGTATCTCATAAATTATAACAACTGTTGAAGCTAAACGCTAGTTAAAAGCTGTCAAAAAAGATAAACAAAGTATATTTTCATGATTCGTTCACGATTTATTTCTATTGCAGACCAAACAATGTAAACAATCTTTGTCTCTTTGTCTAAACCAATGTTTATTTGTGTCTGTGTTTGAACTCTCTAACCAAATAAAGTGTCCAGCCAAAACTAAATACTTCTTGCACAAAGTCTTCTAAAGAAAGGACGATTTCTCCATATAACTGCAAATTAGACAGCAGTCTGTAAATTGTTTCATACAACAGGGTGCAATGCAAAGAAATGTCTTCTTGTTGAGATGCAGCCTTCAAACCATCAGGCCACCTATATGCTATCAAAACTTACTTGAAGCATTTGTAAATAAAAGGACAAAGGAAAAGTTTTCAACTTTCTAGAAAACTATATCACTGAAAGTTTCAAGGCTTCTGATCATTTTGACAACTGGGATAGGCTTGAATATCTGACAGCCGTATTGCGAAGATGATTTTTCGATTGTATATGGACTTCGTCATTTAGATAGATTTGATAGACTTCAGATACTCTGATTCCATCTTTACCTTTTTCATCAAATAATCTGCGGAACTCTAGTTGTTACCTTTTGCCATCCAGGCATAATACTTTGACCAAAAACTAGGAAGCATGTTAATGCAATCATCTGAGTACAAGGTCGGTCTATTTGCTATTTGCAATTTGCAATTTGCGTAAGCGTTGAAAAGATTTAGGCCAACAATTTTACTCATTTCCATAGGCTCTGGAAGAGGTTTGTTATTAAGGAGCAAACTATTTTTCATTAGCAGTGAATGCCTATAGCAATTTTATGCAAGAAAAGGCCTTCCAAAAACTGTTGAATATCTAAAAACATAACTTACAGTGAATATTTTTGGTGTTCATTCCACATTTAAGGCATTCCTGTCCAGGACAGAGACAAGTGTCCAGGCAAATATCTCCCTTACCACAAGGGTTGTTTTTCTTGCAGGAATGTCCTAACTAAAAGTTGAAATGAAATCATGTTTCTCTTGTTATTCAATATTTTGAGAAAAAAGAAAATTAATTCATCTTTTATCCTTAATCACTGCTTAGACTGATGCAATTTTATGTTAAAGTGATGGTCAAAAACTTTTACTAAGAATTTATAACCATGACTGTTTTGTCTATAACGTTGATAAACAATCTTTTGCGTAGAAAATGCTTCAAAACATCTTAAACCTGCTACAATATAGCTATTTCCTAGGCTACTTGCTAGGTGCTGTATCAAGCTGCTGTTAGCTGCAATTCTTTCAACGATATTTGAGCGATATTTGATGTACGTAAGCAACATACAAGGTATACAAGGTAAGATCGGCCAAAAACAAACTTATCTATGTTTGGTGTTTAGGTTATGGCAAATTATTATACTTACAGCTCTGGCAGAATAATTAGTTGTGTAAAAGTCCCATTCATCATTTTTCGTCAACTTGACTCTATCACTGTTGTCATGACTGGACTTGCTATTAAGCTGACATAACCTGGAATCGTCATTCCTAAAATTAATTGACTTGCATTGCTTGTTAAGCACACAGCGTCCTCTGCATTCGTTTAGTTCAACGCCTTCAATTTCTTCGATTTTCGATCCTTCAAGCCAATGTTCTTCTGCTACTACTGAAAAATCTGCAAACGATTTGCATTCCAATCGCAAGATGTTGCACTCGCAAGAAATATTGAGCGAGAACAAAAGGAGGCAGACGGCAAAACAACATGGTAACCTATTGAAAACAAAAAAGAACGATTGTTAAAAATTTTCTGCTTTACCATTTTTGGTCTCAAAAGGGTTTCAGGGGAGGCAATTTTAAAAGCCGTTTTCGTCATTCTGGTTTATTTTTCAATATACAACTGTTAAAATACTCTTTGAGGATAACTTAAAAAATATAATTCAGAAGTTTAGACCCATACTAGTTGATGCTGCTGATCACACTTTAGCTGTTGGTACGTTAGTGGACATGGACATGTAGCTCTTTAAGATTTTTATTCCTTTTTCAAGAAAAGAATGATAAGTATTACTACTTATATCTTGTGATGTGTAAAGAACTCTTATTTTCAATAGCTAATCATGATCTAAACATTTGCAACGACTGTATTGAACAAGAAGCTTGAATGGGAAAAACCTAAATTAGGGTACCTCAAGGTTCATATCTAAGCCCACTTTTATTTATGGTCAACAGCAGTATGCTTAGTTTTAATAAGAGGGATTTCAATCTTGTGATGGCAGGTTGAAATTATCCAAACACGTTGCACTAAAACCAGTGTATTTGACCTATATTCTTCAAGAAATTATATCAATCATCCGCTTTGAAAGGCTTCTACAAATTTGATTACGTGTCAACTTGAGATAAAATCAACAACTCAACTGCAAAAGGAACAACAAAGTTTTCAAATCTATTCTATTTATCTATCAAATCTATTTAAGAACGGCAACAGAGCTGCCACCAGTTTGATATAATTCATTATCGATTGAATTATGATTGCATTTTCATTAGACTAAATATTCCAAGCTGCGTTTGGTTTAGGTTAATACCCATCACTTTAGGCCCCGTTTACACGATACCTGGACCAGACCGGATACTTTTGGATCCGATCCCTGAAATGGCAATGCGATTACATGAGATCCGATTCAGAACCATTTGCGTTTACACGGGAACGGATCAAGATGAATTCAACAGGTTACGCGCATGCGCTTTTCGAAAATTGACGCGCATATGACGCTTTCAGAACTTCGTGCGTGATCAAAAGACAGTTCAACTTGAACATGGAGGGAGGTAGCACTAAAAAGGGTAAATTTTCGTGGAATAAAGAAGAAACTGCGTTTCTTTTAAAAGTAGTATTGGACTACAAAACTGCAAAGCTTGCAGGTGGACAGGATTGGGAAGATATGACGACAAAGTACGATGACATATCATCAATGTTTCATAATAATTCTTCAACACAGTTGTCTGTCAAATAAGAAACGTCATTTCTCAATGATTCGCCCCCAGTACTCCTTTTCCTATTTGATAACACTTATGGTCCTTCTCACAAGAGACCAGTAGCAGCGCCACGGGTGAGACTGGGGGGGACACATCTTTCCTAGTTTTCAGCAGGATCAATTTTGTATTTTGTCAAAATTCGACGAGAAAGTGTTTGGGGAGGGGTAATATTTTGCCAATGTACTTTTAACTAAAGGTTATTCATAGGCATCCTCTTCGGATAAAGTTGGTGTTCCCTGTCGGTAAAAGGGCGTTTTGCGGAGGTAAAAGGGCGTGGCTTAAAGATTTTTGTTTTGTACCCCCCTCCCCCCCTCTCCTCCACAGAGCTTAATGGCTGGCACCGCCATTGCAAGATACCTAGCTTGTAACCTAAATTTGTATGTTAAAGCTGCAAATAGATGCCTCAAAGTAGACAGAGGCAAATCATCAGATTTATCGAAGGAGTTACAAAGGCTCAGTGCGACTTGATTGATCAATAATACCCAGTATGGTTATTTAAGCATTTGTCAAGGAATCTTTTTCACTTCCATGCAAAACACAAGAACAGGAAAAGCTAAATATTTTCTTCCATGTTTACTTTGCAGTTCTGCAATGGTGCACGTTCCTGCAATGTCCAAGACTGTATGTTTTTAGTGATATGCTCAATGTTTTCAAAAATATTAGTAGTTTTTGAATAAGAAAAAAGTTGACAACAAATTTTTACGCATATTAATGCTTCTTTGTAAGCAGAAGCATCAAAATTTGAACTTTTAAATCTATCAGGATGTATATCAGATGTTATCAGTTTTGCAATCTGCGTGTTAGAGAAACAATTAAAAATTAAATTTCTAGCAAGTTTCATAATTTGAATTTTTATATTTTCACATCACCTGCGTGTTTTGTGTATTTTCATGTTGTGTGTTGACATCTCCATGCGCTTTAGAAACCTCTTTACTTCCCAGTGAGCGACTCAGAAAGACTTTTACATTCATAAAAAGTTTGATGTCATGAATACGTTTTAGAATAAGCAGGTACCATTTTTCATTTGCCTTTATATTTTGTCGTGTAGCCTTTGCTCCTTTTTAACTAAATTATTAATTTCTTGCTGCTTGATTGGCATTTTAAAGGCAATTACTAAAAAGGCTTGGGCCATCTTTCAATAAAAAATTAACCAATCAGTTAGCGTGATTCCACTGACTTGCTAATTGATTGGCTAATATTGATTGACACATGGCTCAAGCTACTTTTATTTCTACCGACTGCTTTTAGTTGAAAGCCATGCAGATTTGCGAGATATGCGCTGCATAAACGGTCTTGAGATCAGATAACAAAGCTTGTTGTCAGGGATACACTGTTCAGAGAGTCAAGCCAACTCAGCCCAGGTGTGAAGTGAAAATTAAGTTTTCGGAGTGGCTAAAAAGGTATTTGCTTAAAATTTCGACAATTCAACAAATCTTTTTTGAAGATTCCCGCAAACTGGGTGCTTTAGGAAGGGGCTATAGCTGCTTATTGGTTTTGAGAGAGCCCCCTTAAAAGGGACGTCGAAACCGGGGAAATTTATGATTTTTTACTTTGAAGTTAAGATCTATACGACCATTAGAAAATGCCTTTTTGTAAGGAGAAACCTCTGACAAGGTCCCTCTTTTTTGGCATATGACCCTTTTCTACCTATGCCCCTCCAACCTTGAAATGCTACAGACGACCCTAATTTTTCTTATCTTTTCATATCAAGTATATCAAACCTATCTGACAACTTTGTCCAGTACTTCTAAATCCTGCGGACTTCCATCATTTTGTTCTGTATGCTAGTTATCAATCAGCTCAAAAGAGAAGAAAATTATAAGCGATGGCAAACCTTATCATTATACACAGCATCACATTTAAAGCTGTACAAATTTGGCTTTGTACTTAATTAATTATTGATAACGTTTGGTTTAACCTCAAATTTATCCCTAAATGTGATGTGATCACCTGATGCCTAGGAATGTAGCAACAAAGTATGAAGGCTAGAAGTAGCTACTATAGTGTGAAACATCCTCTGTGGTTACTATAGTGTGAAACAGTCTCCATTCACATAAAGTATGCTTTTTAAGCAAATAAAGGTGAGAATTACAGCAATTGACTCGAGAGGAAGCGACTACAGTATCAACATAATTCTCATGATTTTCTTTGCCTAATCAAATTAGTGATAATCAATAAAAACGGGAATATTCACATAAAAGTTATAGCAAGTTTCAGTTAAAGTAAATCCATAAAAACATTGAGGCCTATGTTGATGCTATCCCAAAGACATGTTATTTATCCTGAAACATAGTTTATTTAATTTTGACGGTGAACTCTACAAACAGAAATAGTGCAGCGGATTTTTGAGCCTTTCTGTCCCACACTTTGCTAAAATATTCATGACATTAATAGAACACCATGCCTTGCAGATAAGATGTAAACAATAAGACAACACAAATGAGTTCTAGATATGGACAACAAAAATGATTTTTGAGATGAACTTTCATTGCTAGATTCTTAGAGCATGGCGAACGGCCTATACTAGGAGCGTGCCTTTCTCTTGTGCAGTGGCGTAGATAGGGGGAGGGGGGGTCAGAGGGGCGAGAAACCCCTGTAAAGCTAAACTGCTCTTTTGTCTAAAAAGATCTGATCTTATCGGAATAATTACATTGTTTGTTATTTTTTCCCGGAGTGTTACATTTTGAGAAAAAAGATAACATGACAATACAGATCAGAAGAAATTTCTATTTCAGTTCGAATGTTATTATATTATGTTTAAATTTATGGAAAATAAAAATTCTTGTTACATTTTTATCGGAATCTCTAATTATTGTACAAATTATCAAAAGTTTAAATTACTCTAATTTGCTCTGAAATGAACTCAAAGAAGAGTGAAAATGAAAATGTTTCTTATGATGAAAAAAATTGTGCATTAAGGCAATTTAATAACTATACATAACTATACATTAAGTTGTTTTGCAGTGTACTTATACAAACAGAAAGCCAACAGCTCTACGAATGTTAGCCGTTGGCAATGGAGACCAAGCGAAGAAAAAAAGCCATTGTCAACCTTGCACCGTGCAAACTCGTACACCATCGTTGAGATATCTGCCATTACAGCTGAAATTTCAAGAAATACATAAAGGAAATAAGTATACAGCAGTATTTAAAGTTATCTAAAATTGTATTCTTATTCATGAGATTTTTAGAAGGACAAGAAAAACGGAGCAGATGTAACAGATGAAACTTGCTCGTTTACCACGGGGTTACCCAAGAGATACAAGAAATTGACTGTTGAAGCACCGTAAAACGGAGAGAAGATCATTTAAAACAAAAGTTTTTCAGCTACCAAGCCAAAATCACGTCTTAGTATATCATCTTTCTGACCCCCGGACTCTTGATTGATTTTGTGATGTTATTGCTGCAGACTTTTTCGACAGGGCTTAACCGCGGGTCGCTCAATAAGAAACTGCGACCACTTATAGAGGCCTCAGCTCTTTTTCATTTGAGAACCACATCATTTTCAAGTATACATGGGATACATGAGGCTTGGGATACATAGGGTAAATATTTGTGTTTCTAACTTCTTTTTTGTTTGAAGAACTACTTTTTTAAGAGGGGTTGCTTTATTAAAAATTTAAGTTATTGGTCAGTGAACTGTTGTATATGAGTTTGCAATGAATCTATTTTTTAAAATTGCAAAACTCGCAAAGCTGAATCATCATTAACGGTAATAATTGATCAAATATTTGTTTTGATTGCCTGATTCTCAATATGATGTCTAAAAGGGTCTTTAAAATCAGCAAAAAAGTTGAATAGCTAACTGTGATGTTAAGTAAAAATTGTTTAGCGTTAAAGAAATGTGAATTCGATATTACTAATGAAATTATTTCTGACAAATAGATTGTTGCTTGAAAGACAAAAAAGTTTTAAATGTTGAATTGAATTTATGATAGGTACTAGTGGCATCGGTTGCAAGCTTAATTTGACTACAGATTTCCAAGCAATGCTGAAAAAGACTTCTAGAAGGATGAGTATTATGCATTTAAATGCATTTTTTAAAAATTCATAATCTTCTTTCAGGGCAGCAGGAAATGGCAATCGTTATACATTTTTATGAAAGATCACGTCTCGAAGTCTAGAAGACTTAACGTATATAAATCAGCCATATTTGGCGAATACTAAAACTGGCAGCAAAAATTTGTTCAGCATATCTAAGCGATTAAAGCATTCAAACAGGTTTACTGTACTGAATACTTTATTCTATTCAACTCAGTTCATACAAGGCTGATTTTTTCTTTGTCATTAAGACTAGTGTCATATCAAATCATAACTTACACAAATATAGACCAAATAGAAACAACACGAAAAGTGTGTTGCAAAAATAACATCTCTTACCGAAAATCTATTCTTTGAAATGCAGTCGTGAACAGTGTTCGGTGTAGTTGACTCTTCATTGGAACAGTAGCAATCTTTATCGACATGAAGTGATGCAGAGATATATCCTTGATTTACACACGCATTATAACAACCTCGTCTGCTGTAAGGGCTGCCACTGTTTAATATTTTTGAGCTTGTAAATAAGCACTTTGGTAGAAAGAATAAATCTGAAAACAAAGAAAAAATTTTGAAATCTCGTTAAGAACAACAGCAGGAAGGGAAATAGGTCTTTTATAAAACATTTTGCTTTCAAACTACATTTTCTAAATTAATGTTTTAAACTTTGTGAGACCAATGTGAAAAATGCAGAATATAAAAAACCTGCCAATGAACAAATTGATATGCTAAAGTAATGCAGAAAATGAAAAATGGACATCTTATCTTCAATATCATTTCTGTAAGTGCATTTTTCTCTGATACAATAACAATTTTAACTAGAAGAAAATGCCGGACAAAATTGTTGCGACTTTGCAAGAAAATTGGAATTTTTGGGTTTTAAGTCAGTAACAACGATTTTCAGAAATTTTAGAGACCTTAGAGAGTTCATATGTCCAAGACCTTCGTTATAGATCTAAACTGTTTCATAATTGGATGAAATAATGTCAATGAAAGAAGTAAAGTTTGCTGAAGGATCACTGTTATTTTGGCTTTGTTGGTAAAGATTAAAACAAAGAAAAAGATTACACGAGAAAGAGTCAGTGCTTATGTGGCTTTATCTTAGCCAAAATCCAACTCATTTAGCAGATTTAGCAGATTTAATGACACATTTCATGATGCTCTCTACTTGGCTACGTGATCCAAATTCAAAATTTCTAAAAATGTCATGTGATGTCATGTAAGAAACATTGTGATAAGTCATATAAGAAACAGCTTTGAGTGGCACTGTGATAAGGGCAATTTCTAATGATTGGAAATGCAATGGGGTTGGATATAGCTATCTTCTACTCTTTGTGTAAGGTAAGGAGAAATTCTAGTTTTTTATTTTTAGGACTCGTTGTGTTCACCGCATTGTACTCGTTGTGTTCACCGCTCGCTAAATGGGCGTGTGCGTTAGTGCACGCGCTTTCATTTGATCTTGTGGATAATATGAATAAATTTCTTTCTTAGAACCTTTATAAATTGATTGTAGTTTTCTATCACCTTTGGCCTTGGGGCGGCGCGGGCCACATCAGACATAATTTGGCACGCAGGCCATGCCTTGGTCAACCTTCTTTAGCTAAAAATAGATGCAACTGCCACTGTGTAATAATCATACATACCTTGCTTTATCTCTATACATAACCTGTCACCCATTGGCACCTGATTTGTTGATATAGTGCACACACATTTCGTGGTAACGGTATTGATGAAGGCTGCTGTATAAAGATTGTCTTTGCAAAGAGTGAAACAATTGGTCTTACTTGTGAATTCAGTCTCAAGATTGATAACACCTTCATAATAGCAACCAGTTTGCCATTGGTCATCACTGTATTCTATAAACGAATAGATTATTGCAGCGCTATCAATAGCAATCTAGTATCTAGTAATAGAGTATATAGTTAACTTTATACAGGCTTATCGTAAAATGTGGGAGGGGGAGGGGGTTCCGCGTCCCAGAAATGTTGATAGATGCTTTGGAATAGGATAAACCAATGTTTTACAAGGTCAATTTTCAAAACACAACAGGCGAAGAATTCCGCAAATTTGCAAAACTTCACAAAAATACCGTATTCCCTGTGTGTACAGAATTCAAACATTCCGCCGAAAAATTGCCAGTATTCCGTAATACTGATGACCCCCATCATAAGTTAGGCGAAATTAAGTGTGCGACATGATTGAAAATAAAAAATAACGTCAGATTGATTAAGGAATTCTTCAAATTAATTGTTTTACAGTTACAAAGGATTTTTTTAGAACAAATGTATTTTCAATTGCATTTATTGAGGAAATTTCTATTTAACTTTGAATTTTAAAAATTGATCGTGCAGAGGAACTTTTAAGAAGATAACATTTTTGCAAATCCTCAAATTTAGCCCCTAAAGCATGCTGCGCCGAGTGAACATTTTTAGTAGGGCAAACTCATTCTACAAATGCAGAACAAAAACAAATCTAAAATTTCGGATTATCAAAATTGAGGCATGAGTAATGAAGGGGATGCAAAATTTAAGTGTGTTTTTCTAAGTGACACCCGTTTCGATGCCAAAAACATGTCTGGCAAGTTCAAGCTACAACTGCTTTTGATGGGATCGCATTTTCCAAATCCGACACTTAGAGAGTGGAGAATACACAATTTTAGGGGATACTGCTGGATTTTGAGAATGCAGGTTAAATCTAAGTATTGAAAGTAAAAGTGATATTACAAAAGTCTTTCAAACGAACTTTGAGATTGAATTAAAAATTTGAGCAAATAAAAAGGGGGAAAAAATCAGCATTTTATACAATTAGAATTCCAAATAGCCTTTAAATTCATTATAACAGAATCCTTCTAAAAATTATGCCGGTTAGCTCAGCTGGTAGAGGAAACAATGTGCAAAGTAGCTGGTCCCTGGTTCGAGTTCCTGCCCAGGTCATATCTCTCGCTAAAATTTTCCTTCTACTGTAAAAACTATTTTCTGGTCTTTCCAGTGTGTCAAGTAGAGTCACACGAGTCACATGACAATCAGAGTCACATGAGTCACATGACAATCACATGACATTCGTAATTGCTTAATAATCGCTTTTGATGATGATTTTAAAGAACGAATTTCTTCCTCTTGTAAACGCGGTACGCTGAAAAGCGTCGAAGCTTCGCTGTGTATCTTCGTGAACGAACGGCGAATCTGCCTCCTCTCCTGTTTCAACTTCTCTAACTTCGATTTGGGCATTGTTACGAATGCTTGAAAACTTTCACAGCAGCGAAAGAACGAAAACGAAACGTAGACGGACAATCCTGGTTACGGCACCAATTTGTTAAGTAGCCAGAGAGGTGTGTGTTTAGTAGCGAAATATATACATATCATTTTAGCATTTACACGAAAACTAACATAACTCAGCAGTAAGCTCGTTAAGAATGTCAAAAGCGATTATTAAGCAATTACGAATGTCATGTGATTGTCATGTGACTCATGTGACTCTGATTGTCATGTGACTCATGTGACTCTACTTGACACAGTGAGTGGTGCTGGCAAACATTAGGCTAACCAACCCCGGTAAAGGCAAAAAGGACATTAGTAGAGGCGGACCTTTTAGATGCAGACCTATAAGATGCGGACTCAGAGCTAATTAGAGAATCAACAAATGGACTGTAGAGAAATAAACCAATCTTATTTAGGAGGGAATATGTCGAAACAAATGCCAAGTAGAAAATACCTGCTGTTTCACATATGTTTCCTGTGTATCCAGATGGGCAAGTGCATTGTGGGCCACTGGCTGTGACTGTACAATACCCGCCATTTTGGCAAGAGTTTGACAAGCAAGGGTCTGTGAAAACAGTGAACGCATACGATTTTTATCGACGTTAAGAATGTTAGTTGAGGTGGTCAAACGATCCAGCACCTTTGATCTTGGCCAAAATTCATCCTGCACCGAAAATGAAGATGTTGGATGACCCAACATGGTGGTCAGGCGATGCAACATTTCGTTCTGCATGATATTGGATCGTTTGACCGGGGCTTTATTCTGAACTTGCGTGCGTATGTGTAATACCATTCTAAACGTGGCACCAAAATAGGTGTTTAAATTTGCTTGACTAAGTCTACAGTGCAGGACAGTGACCAAAAGATAAAAGAAATGGTGGAAAGCGAGGTAGGTCTGGAGTGACGAAGAATTCCCGTCCTTAAAGGTCTTAAGAGAGGGTTAAATATACAAGAGTAACTTAGTAATTACAATATATCCATTTTTGAAAAGTATGTATGCCAAAAATGCAAATAGAGACATAAACAAAAGAAATCCTGGTAATTAGAATCGTGTTATTGTTAGTATTCAAATCATATAATGGCTGATGGTCTCATGTAATCACCACTGAGCTGAGCTGCTAAACGCCAGGTTTGACTTTTGTTACGTGTCTATTTGTGAATTCTGATGATTATTATCTCTAGGGTCCAATTTTAGATCAAGATGCATGCTTATCGTTAAGTAGGTATTTTATGCATTCTCTCTAGCATGAATCATGCATGATGTATCAATATACAGAAGCTTATAAAAAGCTTAATAGAATATACTTTCGTAGGACCCTACCATTTTCACAAAACGTGCCATTATACCCAGGCTTACAATCGCATATGCTACCACCAAAGTGTCGGCATCTGCCTCCATTTTGGCATGGATTGCTGATACATCTATTGCCTGTAATGTGATTTTGTAGCAATCGATTTGTAGTGCTCAAAACGACGTAATACAAATATGATGTTTCTATTAAATAACCAAACAAAATTATGATAAAATAGTTCTGCATGTGAAGAAAACCGAGCCTGTCTGAAATGTGCTAAAAATTTAGAAGCATCTGCTTTCCTGTTAGTGGATGTGCCCATTAGTCTACATTAAAAGCAAAGATTCCAGCGTGACAAACTTCGGACAAATTGTTGAGTTGTCAAAAGTTTTCACGCCGAGAATTTTGTATCAAAAGCAGATACGCAACGCAAATCAACGAAGAAATGGTAAATCTGTAATTCTGTAAAAGGAAATGAGAGGCTGTAGTCTTTTATCATCAGTTGGTCGGCAAAAATTTTGAGAGATATTCTTCCAAGCTATATTAAAATATCAGTCCAAACAAATAACATCATCGCTATCATTGTCAACGTCACAAAAAGGTTCTTAACATTTTCAGTATCCAGAGTTTCTTGCAAGTTTTCCAAGAGCTCAATAGCAATCTTAAAGATACGTGTAAATAAATAACCTGGCGGGGTTTATTTGAACATCCAAAAAACTGGTCATTATTTGGCCAAAAATTTGTTTGTCTGTAATGTCAAAAACATGTCTGAAAACATCTTCGCTGAATTCCATTGTCGGAAATTTAATCTGCTGAAAATTTCTATACAGCATGACTCCGCCACAGAAGCATCTAGTTATGGCAATTTTTTCCTACCGCAACTTTTATTGATTTTCTATTGAGAATGCAGAAAGATGTCTAGATGACTTCTTTCTCAGGTCACCGTATTTTTCTCTTCGTCTTATTTTCTGTTTGTACGTACGTTCTGTTTGTACAAGCAAATATCGTTGTGTGTAGCTTTTTTATATATCACTCTGTTTTAGGCTTGGGGAAGTAAGGGTATTCTGTTACTTGTTAGAAGCGTTGTTTGTACCAATTGTCTTCATTAATTTCGTTCCTGTAAATTTTCATGCTGAGTATAAAAAAGATGTCTAGGGTTAGGGTTAGGGTTAGGGTTAGGGTTAGGGTTAACTTACAATGGATTCCTCTATTTAACATTCCACATCGTATACATTCGTATCCAGGACAACCACATGTATCCAAGCAAATTTCATTTTGACGGCATTTATTCGCCGCCATGCAGTTCTGCCCTACCTGAAATGGGAAAATATGTCATTATAACTACAGTGACTGTGTTTTGCAATTATAATTCAAAGTAAAGCAGAATTTAGCTCCAATAATTATCTTCTTACACTTCGGTATTCCACCAACACTGTCTGTTCCTATGCTGTCTTTCCCCCAAAATTCAACTACAGTTTTCATTCAGACACCCCTGTAGCTGATATACTTCAGAATTAGAATAAGATTTACTTAGCTGGGTCGTTTGGAAAGGAAAATGTAGAGGTAAGAAAAATGCAAGTTCCTGGGGACACTGACTCTATATATTATGGTGTTATTGCTTGCAAAAATGAGATGCATAACATATATAAACGTTTAAATCGCATTAAAATACATACAGCAGATATTGGATTATAAATCTCTTTGACTTGGGTTTCAATTACAAGTCAGTCTTCGGCAGATCTGCTGCTTTTAAAATGTTTGCCAGTGGTAAACAACAAATTAATAATAAATGATATTTATACTAGATAGCTTGTTGAGAAAAGAGATTTTTACCTCAGTCAAGAATTTTGTAAATTGAAAATTTTAATGAATTATTAATGCTCGCTAAAACATTATCTGTTAGCAAACAGGAGATCTCAAATAATAACTAAATATGTCCGGATTGCAATGAAAAGACCATCCATTACTTGACCTTGACGGTTTGCCTTTTGTACGTTATTTTTGATTTTGGAACTCTACTCAAATTTTGGAATTTTGGATGTTTTTTTGGATAGAAGGATTTTTCTTAATTTTCATGGTCGAATCTTAACCTTCCATCAGGAACGGCTTAAAATGTTCCTATTATTGTTCCCGTGGATATAGCACTTTCCCTTCAAAGAGACCATCTGTATATTGAATTACGGTAGCATAGAACTGTCCTGTTCTCCCGAATAGCGTGTACAGCTCTGCTTTTACGGCAATCGAGCATTTCACGACAGAGCGGTAAACATTAATTTTCATTACTTATCAAATTAGGGTTATTTGACATTGGAAACAATTTTCATTTTGCAATTTGGTTACAAATGATCGTCTTGTCTTGTTTACATTTAAAATACCACTTATAGAACGATTTCCAACCGATCAGAAGTTTGAAAGGTAGATGGTAAATAGTTTGAAAGGTACCACTCAGCATAAACATATAGGCCTGTTTCTCGTGTATGATAGACGTTCCCAAAGTCTATTTTTTGTTAAATCCATAAGACATTCGTACTTCTGTGAGGGCATATCTAAACTGCGGATAAGTCTCCTCCGTTTAAGCTTCGAATAAGCGCCCACCCCTCGAATAAGCGCCCATCATTCAACCGGCAGACGGGCGATTATTCGAATTCTATTTATCATTATTAAGAAAGAAAGAAAACAAATGCTTCAATTAAAAACACATTCATTTTTTACTTCCGAATCTATTTTTTTAAAAAGCGCCCCCCCCCCCTCGATCAAGTGCCTCCCTCAACTAAGCGTCCATCCTGGAGAAAGTACGGCATACCAACGCGAAATGCAAACACCTTACGGAGTTAACAAAAAATAGACTATGAGAAAGTCTACGTGTATGAGGAATGTTAGATGAAATTCGTTCATTTATTTATTTATTCATTTATTTATCAATCAATTAATTAATTGATTAATGAAAATTGAGGATAACCTAAGCTATTATATATGAGTTTATCCATCAAACTATCTAGCCGATTTGAGTTCGAGCACTGATACAGTTTGACTATGTAAAACTCCCTCCAAATCTCTATGTTCAGTCAATTCACAAATGCTCAGTTGAATTATGCATTCTGTTGACAATGAATTATGAAGTGTACTAATGAACAAGATCGTTTGAAACTGAATGAATTTGAAAGATGAAGCAAGAAAGGTTTAATGTTGTAGGACAGGACTTAAAATGTAATTGCTTAAACGCATTTGATATAAACATCAAGAACAAATTTTTTCAAAATCAGCTCGACGTTGATAATCTTAGTCAGTAAATTCTTGGCCAAAAGTTTGATTTCAAATTAATGGGTTAGAAATTTTAAACTTGCAAAATGTAAAGCATTTCAAGATCCTGTCCTGCAGTTGTGGCCAGAGCAAGAAAAAAGAATAAACTTCTGATTGTTTTCTAGCCCGAAGCTAATATTTTTCATAATCTACATTTTAAGGGAGACATTTTATTTCCTTGATTCATTTTTTGTAATATTGCATGAATTGATGTATTTATGCTGACTGTTGAAGCTACATCAGTCTTAAGAACACAATGAAAGTGTATACTCACTGCTCTGACAGAATAATTTGTTGTGTAAAATTCCCAGTCATTATTGTTTGTCAAGTTGACTTTATCTTTCATGTCATGGCTTGATTTGTTATTAAGTTGACATAATCCAGAACCATCATATTTTATATTGATTGACTTGCATTGCTGATTTAGCACACAGTGCAATTTGCATTCGTTCAAATCGATGCCATAGATTTCTTGAATCAATGATCCTTCAAGTAAATGACCCGTTGCCTTTATTGAAAAATTGGCATACGACTTGCATCTCAGCCGCAGGAGGTAGCAATGACAGGAAGTTTCGAAAAAGAACCATATTAGGCCTATAACGCAGCTGCAAAATAACCTAAAAGAGGGGATGATAATAAATGACATCAACAAATTTTGAGCCAGTTTTTTCACCATTTTGGTGATTCTGTCACTTCTTTAATTTAGCTGTCTCAGAATTAAAATAAGTAGCAAAAAGACTTTTTGAGTCTTGTCTACCAAAACTTTAATGACAGACACATTCGTTCTGATTGAGTCTCGCACGATTAACCAGTATAATTGGCTCTTCGACCTGACATGTTCGATTCCAACTGGCTCGAACCATCAAGTTGTGAGAATGACCTAGTCAATTAAATTTAAAGGTTTTCCAGATATGCCCTCTACTGCAGGTTTTCAAGAAGTGTTTAAGACTCATTGCTAACATTGAGCCATTGCTCTACGTAAGCATCCCAGAATGCATTTTTAGACTGTCTAAAATCAATTTTGGTTAATCCATAGAAAATTACTGCCATTGTTTGGACCGTTGCCACGCTCACAAAGGCCCATTGTTAGCAATGAGTCTTTAATTCCTGGCTCAAATTGCTGTCAATCTTCTACATATTATATTTCTTTCAATGATCATTTTACTGATTGGAGATGAGTGCATTGTGAAGTGTTGATATCGTTAATATGAATCTTATTTCAAAAGCCGATGAACAGAAAATTGAATGAAGGATGTTAAAATTTGATCATTGCAAGATTTAATCTTTTTGTGCCCGACATAGCTTTGATTTCTGTTTGCAGATTTGATGGCCATGGCAAAAAGGAGCTGTAAAGATTGCTAAGATAAATATTGCTTAAATAATGTGATGAAAATGACTTACAATTGTTTGTTTGGCCTTCCTTTTTGCATATTTCCTGTTCACCTCTTGTCGTGTGTACTATTCGTAAGGGAGTGGAATACTTCTCAAACGCTCAAAATATATCGACGATTAAAGAAAATAGTCTGCAGGTGCAATGGATCTCTTTATAAGCATACGTTGCTGGTTGCTGGTGCTATTATAAATCAATTCATTGTTGTGTTTAGTTTTGTTTGGCAACTGTACACGCAATAATGCGCTAGTTGAATTATGTCCGGGTCATTATGGTAAGAATCTTGCATATGTCATAAAAGATTTAAATACACATGTGTTCCTTTTGCAGGTTTTTGTACAAGTGGTCACTAAGTGACAATAGTAACACATCTTCAAGTAGGCTTAGTCAATCAGAACACATCAATATGGTTATTATTATGATAGGTCCGTTGCATATTAATAAACATTAGCTGAGTTTTCTACGAGATTCAAGCATAGAAGAACTGCTGATAATTGAAGCTGTGCATAATATTAGAAGCTAACATCCACAAATGTTCATAAAGTGTTTATAAACATTTTCGAAACTTCAAGTAATATCTGCAAACATGATAAAATTCAGCCTACAATCTGGTCTCAATCAAATCTTATTATTGTATTCTTAATTACTCGTCTTTTTTTACTGCTTTTTAAATTAAACTTGGATTTCATGTAAAAGCATATTAAAGTTTTACGTCAGACACTATTCAGAGTATAAAACGTCAAAACATAGATCAAGACTACGCTAAGATATATATATATGATCAAAATAGGCCAATCTGAAACGCGAACACAGGGATGTTTAGGATGTCTAATCATTTGAAAACATCTGTAATTTATTGACACATAAAGAAAGAAACTATTTTACGTCATCCTTTTAATCATGCTGACTCCCTTTTGAGATCAGGTTGCTCTTGAGTTAATTTGGATTATAGGGCAAATATTTTTAATCTAGGTTCTTATCTAAGCATGTATTCGTATGGGAAACAGAGTTAGCAATCACTTAAAGTTGTGGTGTCCTTTCACGAAACAAGGACTCGGGCAATGCCCTTAAAAAACCTGAATTTTTCTCTGGGCTGAAATAAACTCTTGAAATATTAGATGCTGAACCATTGAGAGTCTGTAGCCCGGGGGGGGGAGCACTTGGATACCAAAACGACGGGGGTGTGCACTCCTAAGATTGTTTTGGTGAACTGGCTTTAGAAAAAAAGCTAAAGATGACACCCGGCTTTAGAATTTCTGGAAAAAGGAACAAAGGAAAACAAAAGCTTTGGTGCCAGTTGCCATGGTTGCCAGAACACCACAAAAACAATGGACGGGCAGCGAAAATCATGCAACCGGCTTTAGATTATATCCTTTGAACAGATACCCGGTCTTAGAATAAATTGCTGAAAATGATACCCGGAAAGACGTGCACATCCCGTCAGTAAAATATACTGAGTACCCCCCCCCCCGGGTTCTGTAGGTTCTTTAACTCTTAAAGTCTTCTCTGGAGGAATTTTATGCATTGAATTGAGATAAACCTAATATTGCTACAACGATACAGCGTTCTATCAAAGCAGTATGGCTGACAAACCAGTTCCGATAAAATTATATTCAGAAAAGTAGCATTTTAGCTGCAATTATGGACTGAAGAAGATGTGCACAGCATTTAAAAAAAAATTTCCAGCACATTTGGCGAATGTTGACTTTAATGCGTTCTCCGTTTTATTCAGTTAAGCTGTGTCGTGATTTGCTTTTTATGCTACTTTGCCTATGAAAAAAGTAATTGCCTAAATTAAAACTAGAAGAAAGGAAAATCTTTAGAAATTTTCTTTCGTCCTCTGCCCCTCCAGCTCCCCCCCCCCCTGTGTAGGCGCCCCTGGTTTTGATCAGTGCATCTTCACTGATATGACCCTGATATGACCATGCAAGACAGTCTAATAAATATCCCATGCATCAACCAGATCGTTGCTTTTTTATTAAATCTTGTGGTGTTATTTTGTTATCGCAACTTTTTGCTTTTCCATAAAACTACTAGTAGGAAAGCGTATTGTTATACTTTTGTCTCAAGTCAACCAATTACAGTTTCCCATTAATATAAACTTTATAAATACTCAAGATATGAATTGGCCTAGTGATTGTTATTCATGCATGCGTTACTACAATCTACCCGAAAGTCTTGAATTCATGTCCGGGTTCATGACAATGTACATATTTTAACGCAACTTGAAATCAGATCAAAATGGGGGCTGTAGGCCTATGTCTGATAGCTGCTTTGCTGTTCAAATACTCGCACGCATTTTGCAGAAGCCAGTACCTAAAAGCGACAACAACGTTGCAGTTATTTTCTTACCAGCATTACTCAAACAACGAGCACTGCAAAATTCACATTGAGCCTTCTGACAACCTTAGCAGCAGCCAGTTCTTTTTGGAGATTACTTGGCTCAAGTTTGACGTCAACGGAAAATTGCCAGATTGCAAAGAAGATTATGTCGAGGTATATCTTACCAGGTAACTATTGTAACTGCCTACAGCGATCATTTGCTAAAATCAGCGTCCTATTTTGCAATTAAACCCCCCTTAATATGACAAACTTGCTTTCTGAAGATTGAGATACATAAATGCATGCATAACAAGTGACAGTATGTTTTGAAAGAGAAGAATGTTATTGAAGTGGATAAGTTGAACTTAGCTTCATCCTTTGAACATTCTATTTAACCACTCAGTTTTTAAGATTCGAGATAATTGCTGAAGTAACGATATTTTTCTTTAGATCAGGCAACAACATTGGTAAGTTTTGTTCAAATAACGCCCTTGACAAACCATTTGACATGTATTCACACGATGGAACTGCCAAAGTAAACTTCAAAAGCGACAATTATACGACCGGAAATGGATTCTCTTTCCAATACAGACTTAGGAATAAGACAGCAGATCCCTTGGTTGGAAGCAGCAACAAATGCAAGTGAGTGATAATATTAGGTCACATTATGTCATTTTGATAATACAATACAGTTGTAAAAGTCTTACAAGCATCTCTTAAAGAGAAAACAACGTTGGAATATATTAAAGGTTCGGGGAGAGAAGCAAAATTAAGAAAGCACTCTGATTTTTATCAAGCCCAAACAAGCTGTTGGCAGAGGATATGTACCTCTTCTCTATCATCCGATCTTGATACATTCGAAAAAATTTGGAAAACGGTTTCTTCTGAATTTTTCTGTTACACTTTCTAATGGACACTCTTCAGGATGGATACTCTTTCAGATAAAAAGTGGGCAATTTATAATAAAATAGATTACCTTACCCTCCATCACAAAAAATACTGTATAGAGCCTCCATTATAAAGCTAAAATTCTATAAAAATGCACCATGATGCATATGATCTTCGGCCATTCTTCAATCAAAATGCATACACGAGAGCTGAATTAAGATAAATACAAAAGTTAAACCTCTTTCTACGTAACATTATTGCATGGACACCTTAAAACCTAACAATTTTTGTATTATTATTGCGTATATGTTGCCAATTCGTTCCATGTGGTTTAAAAGTGAATTTGCATTAAAATAGGTTTGGTAACATAACAAATGAATAACTTTGTTTTATAATTTTCAATAGGTTTTTAGCAAAGAAAATGTAAGTTAACTAGAAATGAAATTCTAGCCATAATTTTCAAAATTCTAGGCGTCATGTTTAATTTACAGTTAAAATTTGGTTTTCTGATCAAAATTGTTGATTTTTTGCATTTAAATCCTCAGAAGTGCATTCAAAAAGATACTGAGCTTTTGGAAATGATTAAAAAATCAATTGGATAATTGGCATTGTTACATGTTTACATTCTGATTCTTCAGCATTTTATTAAGATAGAAACGTAGACATTTCTCGATGATTCATAGTTTCACCTCAATAACATGGACTTATTCAAACTTGTCTAACAAACTACAAAAATGTGTGCATGGAGAAAATCATTTGTATATGTTTCCTTGATCTTGGTCGTGAGATAATAGCTTGCAATTTAATTTTGCTGGCCTTGCAATTTCGTAGCTTAGTTCTATTTATATGCAAAATGCATGGATCTGTTAAAGAGGAATATTTGTCAACTAGAGAATATGTATGTTGATATGTAAAAAATATTATATTACCTGAATAAAAATAGCATTATATACTGGTAACTAGTATAATCAATTACATATCCTAGCTACTTTGGTGATATGTCTACTGTATACTTTTCAAACAAATGGCCAAGTGAATACTCGGAGGTACATTATTGTCGGTTGAGACAAGAAATGATTGAACAGCAAAATCTGAGAATATCGATCATGGATATAGACTTTCATAGCACCAAAACATGCCAAGAATATATTGAAGTACGCGGTGAGTTGAAAAGTAGTTAATGATAGCCAACTGATAGCCAACTAATAACTTTTTAAAGCTTTTGCTTATGCATAAAGAACCATTATTGCAATTTTTATTTCCTAATGTTCTACTGTAAACGTTTTTAAAAAAGAAATACAAAACACAAACAGGCTAAAATGTCCCTATAAAGTAATCCTCCATTTTAATAAAAATTAACTGGTTGCCCTTGTGATATATTTTGCGAGATAAAATGGTTTCAAGGGGCGTTTCAAAACAATAAACAAATTTATACACTACAAATAGTATCAACGTTTGCATGTTTTTCTTGAAAGTTTTAACTGAAGACTAATGCAGATTAACACCTCCGAGTTGCATGGTTCATTTCAGGGCAAAACATGTTATCCTATTATGATTTATTTAGCTTCCTTGTCGCTTTGAAATGATACCAGGGGCATGACAATTGAGTGTCACTAGGAAAGGTTAGGTGTAAGGAAAAGCCATAACCAATTAAGTTTGGTGCAGAATGTTTTCTTTCAATGTTGCTTTAGAAACAAAATTCTCAATGAAGGAGACCCTTGCTAAGTTTTTCACCCCTTTTTACTATGATAGATTTTAGGGTTGATTTGTTCTTATATAGAATTGGGAGAAAGGTGTGGCATTCGACTGGTTTTGATTCCCAAAACTTGGGTTGATTTGTTCTTATCTCTCCTCGATTAGTCTACCTACTGAGAGAGCTCCTCCTTAAGAAATTCCTCTCCATACGAAATTCTATGTACTCTTATTGTAAAATTTGTCACTTTTTGTCATCCGTTTCAATTTGTTATTCTAGTTAATTGTATGTATTTTAGAAATATTTTTGTATGTAGTGGAATTTTAAAATTGAAACTGAACTGAACTGAGCTTGTAGGTGGAAAGATACGCTATTTGCAGAAGCTTCAACATATCCCTTTGAACATTTTTCTTTTGTTGAGTCTTTAAGAATATTTATCTTGATTTGCAGAATCTGAAACAAAGTATTCCGACTATTGGAAGATAAAAAGATTTACCTCAGGCGTAAGCGGCAAGCTTTGCAGACAAAAGCCACATCAATTTTACATTGCCAAGAGAAAATATGTGTACTTCATGATTGAAAACCTCATTGGCAATTCCAGTCACCGTGGTTACCTTATTGGATACAAAATATACAAGGTGGATGAGGATAAAATAGACAATGGTATGCAATTTAATATATGTAACGCGTTGAATCATCAATAGTGTCACATCATCACAATCAATTATAAAATTTTTCATCACAATCGTCAAAAAAATCATCCTCTTCATTATCGTTATCATTTTTGTCATCATTTTTGTCATGATAGACATTGTCTTTTTCGACATCCACTTTTATTTAAGATACACAGTCAATTCTAGATAAAAAATGACCAACCAATTAAACTGATGGGACAGTAATCGTTTGTTGGTTTCGTATTGATTGTTGATAGTCTCTTGAATTTTATACTAAGGTGATAGTTGTTCTTCTTCTATTCTGTAGGTGAATTAGCTGGGACGATCTTTTCGATATCCTTCTTCGCATGTGGCTTCTTAATACAATTTATGTTTTTGACAAACTACATACGCAGCCTTATAAAACGCAGAATACTTAAAAAAGAATCGGCCCAGGAGAATGCAACTGCGTTTGTTATCCACAATTCAACTTCAAATAATTCCAATGTTGCAGAGTCACCCCCGGAAATGACGTCAACATCGAATCCAGCTTATCCAACACAGCAAGTTCAACAAGCTCCGGTTCCTTCAGCACCAAATCCAGCACACCAACCAACCTTCCCTTTTCAAGAAATTTCAGTGCCTTCAGCATCCTGTCTAGGCTACTACTCAGAACCATACCAACAAATGCCTTTCAATACTTTAGTAAATCCGAGATTTTCCCAAGGAGAAAATATGAAGCCGGAGCACTCACAATATGGTCTAGACAATTGCGTACAGCCATACTCTATTCCCAATGAACCTCTGAATATTTCTACGTTTGAAGCTCCCCCACCATACAGAGAATAAAGAAGAACAGTGGCAATACATTTCCTGGCAAAATCGAATGCTTGTCTATGGGCCCGGAAATGGAGAACAAGAAATTGCAGAACAGAAAAGGGGAGGGAAGGAGAGGGAAGGGGAGGGAAGGGAAGGGAGGTAATGATTTTATACCTTCACGAAGGATGGTTTTACAGTCGGCGTTGGTGTTTGAACATGACTCAACTGTTTTCAGTATTCTGTAGTAGTTGTGGTAGTGTATTAGGAGCAAATTACCTGAAAAATGCTGATGGAACCTGGGACGGATTTATTGGGGAGGGGGGTGACACTTTTTCTTTTATTCGATGAAAATCAATTTTGGTAGTCAGTATTAACAAAATAACGCCAAGATTTTACTTTATTCATCCTCTCATCTTTATCCTCAAGTTAAAAGATGAATTTTGAAAACGAATGTGGCACCTAAACCCAATTAGTGTCTAACACCCCTTCCCAAGCATTGTTGCTTTGCTTAAATCATTCCCTTGATGGAACTTATAGGAATTTGCCTTTGATGGTTTTACAGTCGGCGTTGGTGTTTGAACATGACTCAACTGTTTTCAGTATTCTGTAGTAGTTGTGGTAGTGTATTAGGAGCAAATTACCTGAAAAATGCTGATGGAACCTGGGACGGATTTATTGGGGAGGGGGTGACACTTTTTCTTTTATTCGATGAAAATCAATTTTGGTAGTCAGTATTAACAAAATAACGCCAAGATTTTACTTTATTCATCCTCTCATTTTTATCCTCAAGTTAAAAGATGAATTTTGAAAACGAATGTGGCACCTAAACCCAATTAGTGTCTAACACCCCTTCCCAAGCATTGTTGCTTTGCTTAAATCATTCCCTTGATGGAACTTATAGGAATTTGCCTTTGATCAAAAATTCAAAAGAGTTTTATGATGACCTAGTGAATATCATAAAGCCCACCTACACTATATATATAATTCTGTTATAGCGCAAATTTTTTGACTTTATTTCAAGATGGTACCAAAATATCAACACTATCAAGCTGCCAACCATTGATTTGTGAATGCCTTAACTGCCTGCAACAAAAGTTGCAGCCTGAAGCGTATTTGAACTACCTAGAATTACCAATGAGGTAATCGTGGCTAATTGCCACAGATACCGTGAAATACAAAAAGTCCGAGTGCATACCTCTGATCTATATATTCAATTCATATCATGCTCTCTGTGACCCACCTTTAAATTTCCAGGAACTAATTTTTGGAATTCAAAACGTTTTAAGACAAAAAGAGAAATGGCCAGTTAGAAACGTGACAATTAAATTTAGCATTAATCAAATAGACCGATGAAAAGTGAGCTCCTGTCTCTTATCTGCAACTGGATAGAAAGCTTGGTAAACCTGATTGGCTCTCTATAAACTCCAAAAAATAATTGCTTAAATTTCCCATTTTCAAAGTCAAAGTCACCATGGAGCACATTACTGATTGGGAGGGGGGGGGTTAAAACGTTGTTGATGGCTAATAATGCTAAAAACCACGAGCAGGGAGATGTTTGCTCTCGTAGCTCCCAGTAGCCCTCCTCCCCGCTTCCGTGGTCCCTGAGTGGCATCAAAACTCAAAACCTGTAATAGTGCTAGTTTGGATTTCGTTTGTTTTGCAACTTGTAATCTTAGTTTTTTAACACCTTCGATTGTTTACAATTCCTTTTGTTATCTAATTGCACCTTTAGGTTCATTAATTATTTCATTTGGGATTTTTGTATCTTTATTCAGTTTATCTAATTAATCTTGGGAGTAGTATCTTTTGTAATCACTATTATTTTGTAAATACCTAGCTATGTGGTATTTCAATTAATTCTTGTTTGGGTTATATTTTGGGCGTGTTATTTTACAGAGTTAGTTAGCTTCATGGTTCAGAGCTATTAGGTTAAAGGTAATGTGTCCAGCTAAAGCAAGCGACTCTGTGGGGGTTTTTAGAAACATGTGATTTTTCATGTCTTCGCCCCAGCCACTACGGTCGTTTTGTTTATCTATACTGCTGCGAGGTTAGCTTTTCATGTGAGCAGATTTGCATCGCAAGAATACTAACCAATCGCAAACCGTTATTTTGATGGGTGGCTTGACAAGTTGGGTATACGCAGTGCTTTTATATGGACACATTACCTTTAAGATTTGTTAATATTATGTATGTTTAGGTTCTCGGCGACTAATTAATGTGGCAAGATGCTGGTAAAAGATCTTGTTGACACAAACTATGGTTTTTTATAGAATACGTATGGATATTTATGGAATCGCGCGTGACGATTTGGATTATTATGGATTACTTGATATGTTTACGAGGACAGTACTTGTGAAAGACTGTGCCTGATGTAACGAGAACGAATCGACGTTACGGGACAACCGTAGAGAAACATTGCTTGATAATAACCTAATTCGCAGAACCATCATTTGATCAGAAGAAAGACGTTGAAACATTATTTATTTGTCTACCCTTAAATTCTCATGGAAGGACCAACTTGTCTCGACGGCAATGATAGGGTGGATTCGTTTGGCAAAAACCCCTATTACAAGCTACTCCAACCATCAATAATCCTTGAACAAGACCTATCCCAAAAACACTTTTCAAATTTTTGTCAAAATAATATTACAGATCATGTCATATTACTGTCTCATAATATAACATCATGCCATATATTATTACAAGCGATATTAAGACTCGAAAGTTGTGTTAAAAAAGTGGCAATAACATAGAATCCCTGAAGTGTAATATCAAGGAGTTTTCATTTCTTCAACAGATTGATTATGCTTCTAATGATACCATATTTAACATTGTACCAGTTTATTCTGGGTAGTCCTGATAATGAGTCCACATCTCCCAGTCTGTAATATTGAAATGAAGATTCCATTCATCGTTTTCTGCATTATATCAAAAAATAGTTTTGCGTGTCAGTTCACCGTAAAACTTTTAAGGCTTACAACGCATGCGCAAATATTAAACCCATAACTATCAACTTACTCATTTTACAAATTAATAAGTACAAAGCTGTATAATTACCTTGATGTGGTCCGGAGGTATCTGGGTTATCATGACGCTATATGTAACTCCCAGGTGCTATTCACTTGACCACTCCTTTTTCCACCTTGAAAATAAATAACAAATGATGAAGAGACCGCTGAAAACATATCTATCTTGACTGTCACATCTTTTTGTGCTTTAATTTATAATATGATGGCCTGGAAATTAATAAAGAGTTGTTGAATGAATTTCAAGTGAAATGGGCTCCAAAATCGCGGAAAGCCACAAGAGGATTTTTACAACCCCCCTCCCCCTCCCTAAAAGTGTAGTAGGAATATTCTCCTTTTCAGTATTAACCTCGTTATCATGTTACTTATGACGCGCTTAACTTAAGGATATATATTTCAGCACGAAGTTAGTTATAGGACTTTTGATTTCGATGATGAAGCAGAAAACATAAACGAAGTTCGTTTCTCTTCGTCTCACTTCTTCGATCGATAAAGATCCCGCTACATAAGAAGCCCCATCTAAAACTTGCCTAAAAAAATGGCACATCACAGACATGACACTGACTGACACCTCACAGACAACGCTCATTTTTAAAAAAAATGATTGATTTAGTACGAGCCACCACAGAACCTGGAGTTGTGGCACAGGGGGGCTTAAGCTCACCTATCACCATGATCTTATTGCCGCCATGATCTTTTTTGAGATCAGTGGATCAGACCCCTAATTGTAACATTGGACATTGTTTTAATTGTAACATTGTAATAATAATATCATTATAATGGCAACTGAGAAAAATATGACACAAATATGCGAGCTAAGCCAGTGGCGTACCCAGGGGGGGAATGGGGGGGTCTGGACCCCTCCACTTTTCTAAAACATGGTCCTCGAGATTTGTCCAAAAACGATGTAAAACTCATTAGGGGGGGGGGGGGGTTTAGTATACTGTATGCTTGTGTCAATAACAATTATAAAATGCTTTGCTATTTGCCATAGCTAGCATGAATCAAATAATGGGGGGAAATCTTGCAAAAAGGGCGTTTCCCCGTATTTGCGAGTGTTTGAAGGGCGTGGTCCAAAAAATTCTGGGGGCTGGGCCCCAGACCCCCCCCCACTTCTGCAGCCCTGGGTACGCCACTGGCTGAGACTGAGCTAACTATATACTTACAATATTCTCAAAAAATGGATGATTCTGAGCCAGAATATTTATTAAAATAATATTATTATAAGAAAAGAGTGTAGGCAATATTAGGAAATTAACTTTCTTTCGAAGGGAAAACTGCTGAAAAAACGTTCTTGTTTCTATACAGGGCACATCGCCCCAAATACATGCTATCTCTTTTTTTATTTTTCTGTCGGCAGTTTGATACATTCTTTTCAGTAGTTTCGTTGAATATAAACGCTGGCACCTTGAATGTTTGTTTCTAGCCCTGCACAGAACGGGCCCACGGGCAGTATGTTGGGCCCCCTTGATTTAGAACATTGCACGATTTGAGGGCACTAGCTCCCAGCTCCTCTCTTCAGCGGTCGCTGCTTAGGAGTCGGGAGTCCTCCTCGGTTCGGACCTTAGGGGGTCACATGGGCTCAATGTGAATTTTTATGGGCCGGGAAAATCAAGTTTTTAGGGGCACACCATTTTGATGCTGATTGTTTCTTGTTGTCCTTACTTATAATATGTTGGAAATGAGTATCGCGGAGGCAGCGTGAGGCCTTACTTCACCTTTTTTTCTTGAAAATCTGATACTACTGCATTGCTTGATAACCTTTTCAAGACTCTGGGCCATTCTTTCACGAAATACAACAAAATTTTAAAATGGCACCACAAGTTTAACACATCTAAATTCAGACACACTATCAGACTACGCCTCTTAGTCGAACAGAGTGTGAGTAAACGAAAAACTTCAGATATGAATCAGTCTCAATATTCAATATAAAAATGCAAATTTGCTAACGAGAATAATAATAATAACTAACTCACGACTTTGCTTGCTTTAGCCTTGGTATCTTATGGCTTTTCGGCTTTAACTCTTCGAATAGACTTCAAATAACGACAGGGCAACAGCGACGACTTTCAAGCGACACACGCTTCGATTCGACTTCTAATCTTTGGGAGAACGGTACCCTGGGTACCAGACTCACTATATAAAATCATATATAGTGAGTCTGGTACCCAGGGTAGGAGAACGGCGGCCACGGATCTTTTGGCAAGACGGCAACGCCCACAGTAAAAAGCCCCTACTCTAAATCAGCAAGCTCTTTTATATACTTTCTAAAATGCAATTAACCAATAGGCAAACAAAACATTACTGCAACCAATAAAAAGCTGGAATGGAACAATAGTTGAAATAGCATAAAAGTTAAGAAAAAGATGTTCACGCTGACACCCTCTTGAACCAACACGTGATATCAAGTTCGACCTTCATACCATAACAACACGCAGATTTCTGTTTGTTGTTTTATAATCAAAAGAGATAAGAGCAGTATTCTAGTGCTACAGTATTCTCTCCAATTGACGGTCATTCTAAAAGACGGACATCTCTGATTAGCGGACAAATTTTTTTCCCCTAGCGTTTTCTGGTCAAAGTCTCATAAAAAATTTCCAAACAGCGGATATTTAATTAGCGGACACTTTGATTAACGGACAATATTGTTTGCACAAAATAGTCAATTTGGCTTTTTTTCTTTCCAATTAGCGGACATTACAAAAAATTTAGGAGCCAGCGAACAAAAAAATGAGAATAATGAATATTTGTTCAAATATTTACTTCAAACACTGACACTTGACAATCTAGTTGGCTTTTTACAGCTTCGAGCTTCTTTACAGCCCAGTTTTCTAACTATTTTGACCATGAAGGTGTTCAAATACGCTCAATTTGGTTATTTTTTTTTATTGTCTAAGTTCAACGCGATAGCCACTAATTACCCAAACTACACCCAGAGGTGGCGCGCGAAACCTTCCGACAGAGGGGTTGGAGCTTCTGACAGGGGAGCTAAAATGACTAAAATATGCAGTTTTCGTACGTTATTTTGTCAAATTTGCTCCGACAATAATCTAAGATTTTCTCTGATGGGTTGGGGGGGGGGGCTAGGTGCGTCTGACTGAGGGGCTGTAGCCTCCTAGCCCTCCTCTGACGGCACCATTGATTACACCTTTTAGATACAAAACTAGGGTCTATTTTCAACTTTGGAACTTATATTGCAAAACCTTCCAAAAGGCGGACACTTCCAATTAGCGGACACCTTGCTCTGGCCCCGACGGTGTCCGCTAATTGGAGAGAATACTGTATCTCCTTTTTTACAACAAGAAGAAAGAGCAATGGTTGTTGGGGAGTCGATTCTGTTCCCGAATGTTCTGGAGACGAACTAGAGGACAACCCAACGAACAAGAGCATGCGCATGAAACAAAGTCACTATTACATATGCTCTTTGATTCCAGGATGGTGGGTTGCCTCCTGCCTCACTCATTTGAAGATTTTTACTCACTTGTATCTCCATCAATTAAGTGGAGCCCAAAACTAATATATCATATTAAAGTAAATGTGAGAACACAGAATTGTAGAGACAAATCAGAACATTATAGGAAAGAAGCGTCTTAATTTTGAAAGAACATGCCACAAACTTAAGCCAATTTTCAGACAGTTATAGGAGAAGAATGCTGGGGAGGCTTCAAGGTTGCAAAATTGGTTTTATCAATACACATTCTTGAATCGAGGTATTGAAATCTGAAATGAATCGACAAAGAAGTTCAAATCTTTGCTACTGCCTTTCTTCGTCGTGCAAACACTAAAGGGAATTAAACAGCCTTGTATGTTACACGCTTGATGAGTGCTACTCAAACTTTTTTCCCGAAAGTCACTGTTGTCTTGTTTGTTGAATAAAATCAGATAAACAAAAAATCAAAATGTCAATGAAATTCGAGTTTGGCAATTATTCTTCATTAGTGTTTAAAACTGCAATAACTTCGAGCCAAAATATTCTTAAAAATTCTTCTTTATAAGAAACGAGGCCTTAGTGTTTTATATCAAGCTATGTCTTTACTTTCGTAATTTATTTGTTTATCTTCCTTCGAAGCTAATCTACACTTGCAGCTTCAAAATAACTCAATATCTACTTTAACGTGCGGTGTATCCGAATTGAATAAAGTTGAGGGGCCACAGAATAGAAAGAAAATCGGTTACAAATTCGGTAAACCATGTATCAGCAAAATTTATCTTACATACGCCCTGGTCCCTCTTGTATGGCTCTATAGAAATTTTCATAGCCAGCATTACACTTCGATGCTAAATAAGAAGTTTTTGGAGCTCTAGAAGGGGTTGGACAAGGATACATGATATCTCCACTGCTTTTCGACATTACTATTAGAAAAAATGTATAAAATCTTATCCATTACATTAACTACAAAAATTTTCTTTTTCATATTAATCGTCCTCTTTTTCAAAGCGGTTCTGTTCTATTCTTGCATTAGCGGTGATGCGGTGATGCAGAATTACCATCCTTCAACCAATTTATTCTGCTATCAAATAAAAAATCGCATTTATGGAATCCATTAAAAATACCGCATCTCCACTTAACAGGGGGGCTTAGCCAAACAAATTGATGTCCTAGTACATTCAGAGAGCATCAGAAATGGGTCCTACTGAGAAAGCGACTGCAGAAAAACAAAGGAAGCTTTAAGTTTGAAAATCCAGGTAACAAATATTGTTAAAAATGTACGATTTCAATTATGCATCTAGTTTCCACTTTACATTCTCAAAACACTTTTGGCGGAAAAACCAATCTTTTGATGTTTTAATGATGCTTTCAGACAAAGTGCTAATACCCTACGGGTATCCTGAGGAAGAATTATTCCATCATCCCAAAGTCTTGCTGTGCTAAAGTATGCGGAGCTTTGGGCCTCCAGAAGTGAAATTAAGTTCTGATCCATGCCATTCTCCTTGGCTCCACCATTATTAGGATCCATTAATGCAATCTTTGCAGCAGGCCAAAGAAACATAAACCGTGGGCTCATGGAGCGCCCACACATTGCAAAATTGTCCATTCCATAGCTATTGCCAATAACTACAGTTATTTTAGGAACATTAGAGTTTGCAATAACCGACATCATTTTGCTTTTTTCCTTCAAAAGAGTAGCTGCATCTTCCAAAGACAAATTTACCGGATCAACAACATTTTGTAAGAAAATTATTGGAATATTCCTTTGGCAGCATAATTCAACAAAGTGTGCCCCTTTCAAACAAGCATTTGACATCAAAGGGCCATTGTTTGCCACAACACCGGCAAGGATGCCATGCAAATGGGCGAATCCTGTCACCAGAGTTGGTCCAAATGATTGTTTGAACTCCCTGAACCTGCTACCATCAAATATACGAGCCATAATTCCGTGCAGTTGTAAATCTGACTTATCTGGAAAAGGCAAGGCAATTGCCCTGAGTTCATATGGGTCATACATTGGCTCTTCATAAAAGTGTGAATCTTTAAGATAAGATGGCATATTAAGTGATGCCATTATATCTTTACAATCGTCAATGGCAGCCTCTTCAGACTCAGCAAAATAGTCAGTACAACCACTGACTTTGCAATGTACTGTAGCACCACCAAGCTCTTCTGGAGTGATGATCTCTCCTGTTGCTGCTTGAACTAAGGGTGGTCCACCAAGAAATAAGGAGCCAATCTTATCAATTATCACAGTTTCATCTGCCATTGTTGGTATATATGCTGCACCAGCAGTACAAGAACCAGCCACAACACAGACCTAAAATTATAATATGATAATTGAAGCACAAACACACTTGTGATGGTTTGATCAAACAATGTAATGTTTATCGATAATAAAGATGAAATATTTATAGTGTCACACTTGATATGGATTTTAAGGACCAAAGACAAAACAAAGAAATATGACCCGTAGGGACAGCAGCATGGAACAGTAAAAAACCTTTTGCATAAATACAAGATTTTTTTAAAGGCAATTGAGAGATACTAAAGAGGCTTTAGCCATCTTTCAATCAAGATTTGACCAATCAGCAAGCCTGATTCCACTTAGGCATTTATTGATTGGCTTATATTGATTGACAGGTGGCTTACGTCACTCTTATTGCCTTCAAGTTTGAGCTTTGAATAAACAGTAGAAATATTTAAAATTGTTAACAAGGTTAACCAAGAGAGCAAATGATTTTACCAAGAGTCAGTGAAACAGTCATTAATTAAATAAATTAAATTGTAATCTTTAGCTAATGTTCAAGAAATTGAAAATAGAAATTGTGACAGGCTTGTTGATCTGTGAGCAAGTTTATGGCACAAACAGATTATTGCAGACAACTTCTATAAATCAAGGTGTTGGTAAAAGGGACAGACAACAGCACAGGTAAAGGAAGCAACAGTAACGTAATGCAACTTTGTACAACAAACAGAGCATCGTTCTTTCAATATTGGTTTATTTATCATTTCGTTTCTCTAAAGAATTGCTCAATAATGCCATGGAGTTCATTGTCTTGCAACTGTATGAGGTATACAATGAGGTAATGTAAAGATAACATTTTTCAAATAAAACACTCTTATTTGAGAAGTTTGAGAAGAAATGCTGTTATTCAGTCAAATGTGATATTGTCTAGCTCATCAATAGCAGTAATTTCTATAAGCAGCTATAAGTAGGCTAGTAATTTCAGATCATCCTTTTTGTTAGGCCATGGATGTCGTGAAACAGCATTTGGACCCTGGTTCAATTTGCCAGGACAGTGACAGGCCTCAAATTGCCACAGAAGAGTACTTTTTACTATTATGAGAGTACTGGGGTTAGTAATGCTGTTTAGATCCTGACCATTGTAGATAAAACGAAAATGCTTGCAGTTTGTTGAAACAAAAAAATTCGACACCTATTAGGGCTAATCTTGAAATATTTTGACCATATATCAAGCTTCTTGAGTGGCTGGTTAAACATTGGTTGTTGTTTCTTGAAGAACACAAGAAAACACAAAATGGCTGTTGTACTGTGGAGTTGAACAGAAACAGAGCATACACAATCAGGCTGCTGATCTCACATCATTGATAACTAAGAAAATTGCTGGATGCCAAATACTTCTGTCAGACTACTGAAAAAATGGCTAGCTTTTTGCATGTCTGACAGATTTTTTCCGATTTGGGGAAAGGAAAATGACTTCAAGGTATAGAAAGAAAATTGTGTGAGTTGCTTACACATCTTGATCACCCTTGGATTTGCTTTTGAACTGTGAGCAAATAATCAGGATTTACAGATTATTGCAAACAATCTTAATAAAAAGGGATATTGATAAAAAAATGCCCAACAACATTTGCATAAAAAATAAAACAATATTGTGAGTCCTTGAACAAGCTCCCACCTTCAAATAACCCTCCACCTCCACCAAGCCCCAACTAAAATTTGTTCATGAAATAAGCTGCCACTCTTAAATAAACTCCCATGTAGCTTCAAAAGGAATAGGTTTGCCCAAATATAAAGCACTGTGATCATATTTTGTACTCAGTTTTGTTCTTGCTCAATTTTTATGCATTTTTAATTATGCATCTGCATTTTTAAGCATACTGAACAGCTTTAAATAGAACAAAAATGTGTCCTGTTAATAATTTGGCTGATGCCAAATCAGTCTCTACCTTCAAACAAGCCCCTCCCCCCTCCTCTGATAAGCCCACATGGGGCTTATTCATGGACCAATTTACACTGTTTCAGTTTTTGGCTGTTCCATACATTGAAAAACTCATCAGCTCTATCAGAAAATTTGAAACATTTAAGCACCTGGGTATGAGTAAGAAACTAGTTAATAAAGTAAAATTAAACAATGAGAAACAAAAATTAAAGTTTATATGAAAGATTAAGATTAAAAACGGGAAAGTTTATATGAAAGATTAAGTGGGAGCATCTTGAATTATTCTTTCTAAACCGAATATTTCTAAGTTGCTAAGCAGATGACACTAGTATCTTTTTCTCAGATAAAAACTTAAGAAATCTGGAAGATACTGTTAACAGTGAACTCATTAAAGTGACAGACTGGCTCATTGCAAATAAATTAACTTTAAATATTTACAAATAAAATTTTCTATTAATTTCTCCCCCTCAAAAAAAATTTCTTATAAACATCATATTAAACATGATAAAAAGAAGATCTCAAAAGGAATTGGTATACTGGCAAAGATTAGACATTTTGCCCAGCTCAAATTCTGTGTAATCTTTATTTTGCATTCATAATAAACTTTGAAAATTATAATGGGAGCGCTAAACCACTATTCAAGCAACTGGGTATTTTAGATCTTGAAGAAAGTTTCAATCTAAAATGTGCTAAACTAATATATGATATAAACAATGGTAACCAAAGTCCTATTTTTTGACAATTTTTTTGAAAAAACAACTGCTAGACATAGCTATCAAACTCATCAATCTACAGTAAAACTCTTTGACTATCCTGCAATACAAATAAACTACAAAATACGATTCTTCACATATAACAGCATAAAAACCTGGAATAATATACCTCTCCACATCAGAGAACAAAAAGCAAAAATTTATTTTGCAAATATTTCAGAAAATGGTTGTTACACAATTATGTAGAAAATTCCTACATACCTTTTCTATAGAAGAAAAATTGAGCCAAAGCCCCCCATCCATGTCCTCCCTTCTCCTTGTTATTTTGCATTCATCTTTTAAATCATTTTTTTCCTTAAATATTTTAATATTACTATCTTTGATTGTATTTTAATGTCAATATATTATTATTGAAAAATCAAACTCAACTCTCTTCGTAACAAAAATTATAATCACACTCTTTAGCTATCATATCATATTCTCCTTGTATTTAAATCTTTACGCATATTGCAATTATGTTTAACCTGTAATAGGGTGCTGGGCTCGAAAACCGTTTCGGTTCTCTCGGCGTCCTAAGCAACTTAATTTTGTTTCCTTTTAGTTTTGTAAACTAACCATTATTTTAGAATTCAATATATCTGTAAATTATCTGTTTTTTGTTGCTGAATTAAATGAATTTGAATTTCAAAATGATTGTATTATACAGGGAAACAGTGAAACGTAACAACAAATTCATTGTATCAGTGGTGATTTAATTAAGAAAGTAAAGATACCTGAGGAATGCCCAGTGATGACATTATTGCTTCATTATAAAACGTTCTTCCTCCTGGCAGGAAAATTTCTGACTGCAATGGAAGAAATCCACCCCCTGAATCTACAAGATAAACACATGGGAGATTGTTTTCCAATGCAATTTCTTGAGCACGCAACTGCTTCTTCACACCAATAGGATAAATGGCGCCCCCTTTGACAGTGGCATCATTTGCCGTTATGATACAAAGCTGCCCACTTATTGAGCCAATGCCCACAACACTTCCAGCACCAGGAACATCTCCATATTCAAGATTGTGGCCTGCTAACGGTGCTAATTCAAGGAAAGGATAGTCATCATCCAACAATTTCGAAAGCCTTTCTCGTACCAACATTTTCTTATTAACATTAATATGGCGTTCTATTGCTCTTTGACCTCCACCAAGTCTGCATTTTTCAATCTTTGCAACGTATTCCGTCTCTAGACTTTCATTTTCCTTCAGCTGGGCGCGAAACTTGGGGTTTTTCAAATCGACATGGCCATCAATTGCTTTGAATTTTCTGTGATAAGACCTTCGATATTTTACGTGATTTCCTCTTTCAAATTGTCGCATAAAATTTATTGGTCGATTCAATAACTTCTGAGCCATCTGTGAGAGGAGCCGAGAAACACGAAGAACACAATAACCAAAAAGTAGTAATCTTGGCCTATGCAGTGTAGAGGGACTTTCTTTGGACCCTCCTACTTACCAGCAGCCTCATTTTCAAGATGATTTACTGGAAAAGAGACAGCTTCATGTGTGTATGGTTCTACCTAAGAAAATGTCTGGAAATTGGAAAGGCACGAACAGAAAACGAAATAAAAAGTTTTATTGCGGCCACGACGCAAAAAAGGTTCGTATAGTAATAACTTTATATGCCGTGTTTGCACTTAGATATATTCACGAACCTTGCTGTTACACGTTACAACCAGGACCGTAGTTGGGCCAGTCTGCAGAGAGTGGATCTTGTGTGTGCGAGAGCAAATCTAAATGTGTGCAAGAGTGCTGAGAAAGTGTGCAATCAATGTGTGCACAATGTTCAGTTTTGAGCCAAAGTGTGCAGCAAGCTTCTAATGGGCAAAATATTTGTCATGGCTCGAAAATATTTTATCAATTTGTCTCAATGTGTGCACAGCAATAATGATAATTGAGAATTAACCTAAGACTGTAGTTTCTCAGAGAATTGGAATATGCTACCTAGTCACAGGCGTGGATTCAGATAAATTCATCACCAGGTTATATTTGAATGATTTTTTTAGGAACCCCCCCTGGGATAGTCCAGTACATGCTTAGGTCTCTTAGCCCCCGAAAATACATACCCTCCTCTCTTTGACATGATAAGAATGTCCATTGCGACCGTCTTATATTAATCAGCAAGTTTTGTATAGCAGCTTTTGAAAGCAAACTTTGTATTGCAACAAAGGGATTTTAGGGGTGTGTTGATAGGGCTCTGGGAGCTCAGTCCTCCTTGTTTGAGATCAGAGCTCAGAGTAAGCTATATCTATTTGCAAAATACGAAAGTTTGTCGACAGATATTTTGTATGGTTTAGGTAACTGGTAACTTTTGGAAAATTTATTTAATGATTCAAATTTATTGATAAAAGAATTTGCCCCTCCAAAATAAAAAGCCTGGGTACCAGAGCCGCAAAACAAACGTAAAACAAAAAAAATCATCTTCTGTTCATATATTTCTTTTCCTTTGGGTCTTTGCCTTTCTGGGTCTCTTTTAGTCTTCAACAACCTTACTTTGATTTTAGCATCTGTTACTTTATTTATTATTTTTTTGAAAATTTTGCCTTCTTTTTCCCATACTCATCGACTTAACTAAAATGCAAAGGTTGACCATTTGATTCCATTAATTCCAGATCTACTATGCGCAACTGGTCAGAACGCGGTGAAACCCTTAGAACCTGTTTGAAGCTTTGTATTTTGCAATCTTGAGCGGTTTTTGACCAGGTTGAAGGCTAAAAGTAGCTTTGAATGAATGGGTGACCGGGTTAAGATTTTCTTCTGTTACGCAACCTTGAAACTCTTTATATTTGTATACAAATATTTGTATTGATAATGATTGATATTGATAAGGTTAAGGGAGATGATAATAATAATCACATTGATAAACATTCTTCTCTGTATATTTACTAAAACATAAAATAAATAATTTCTAGAAATCTGACCGGTTTTTTGAAACCTGTCAACCCATGGATTTAGGGTAAGCATATGGGCATAAATGGATTTAGGGCAAGTACAGGTCATTTCAAAATATCAAATCAAAATGCTGAGATATGAGATGACTCCAAGGCCATTCTACGGTAATCTATTAACTCCAGGGCCATTCTAGGGAGTTGCCCTTAAAAATTTTCCTGGGGGAGTACCTGAATACCCCCCTTTGTCTAACTTTCCAATGCTTTCAGGTTTGTGACTTTATTGAAGGCCCCATCAGAGCATGTGCCCAGGACCTTTTGCCCCTCCTAACCCTCCTCTCAACACCCCTGCTTAGCTTTATTGTAAAATGATTCATTTAGTTATTGTAAATTGATTTTTATCAGTAATAATTTGTAGTTTTGACGAATTAATTGTTGTGTGACTCTATAAAACCTGTTTATAAAAGGGAATCTATATCTCATCATGTTTCAGAAAAGGATAGAAGACTTGGCACCTGGGGTTAAAGGATTTTTAATCACTTGTAATGAAAGAAAAGAAGCTCCTGTGGTGTCAGAGGCATATGCATTGCTAAATGAGGTATGCTGAGTCTGTGCAATTTGTTAAATCAATAAAGTGCAACCTCACTTGCACATCCAGCTTGAACAGCTTGAATGAAACCTTAGAGGAGATGCTAGGATAAGCAGAAAGTTTGAATGATTGAGGATAAGATTTTGCCCAGGAAAAATCGCACACAAGAATTAACATATAGATTCACCTAGAAATCCCAAGCTTTTTTATGAATTTTGTTGCTATACTTGGATACTGTTATCTACTCCTGCTTCTTTATATGCAATGTTCAATTGATGTGCCTGTGGACCATGTAAAACTCTATGATTGAAATATGATACATATTGATTGGGAAAATATGTAAAATAGGGTATTTGATTCACTTAACTTCCGAATGCCACACTCCCGAAATCTCTCAAAAGAGATAAGATTATTTTTGTTGATTTGTTGATGTTTATTCTGATTTTACTGATTTTACGTTAGTATGCAGATATCATTTATGGACCAGAGAAAATAGATGAAGAAAATCCAAATTCAGAAAGTAGTGATGAAGGTGAGGACAAAAACATCGAAGATGCTCTAAAAAAAGAGGTGTCTGAACTGAAAAGCAGAAAATTCAAAGAAAGAAGATTCAAAGCAGCTAAAGTAAAGATAAAAAACTTAGTATTTATAAAGACAACTTTAGATGATCCAAATAAACTCACAGAAGCAATTTTTACTGATCTAGAAAAGCAAAAAGTGACAAAGACAAGGTATGTTCTGATAATTTTTAGAAATGTGTGCTTGTTATTGATTTAGCATGTACTATGTTATGTTTGATATGGGTGTTCCTTTAGGGTAGTTGCCATTTCAATGTAAATACATCATTTTTTTATCATATACATTACAGATCATTTTTGAAGGTACAAATTCTAAATCAATTTTTGATTTCACACGATCTCACATAATTGATTTTATGATACTTTTCATTTTTTTTCTTCCAGACGATGCATCAAATGTATACCTATTATGGCAACCTGCTATGCATCTGAAAATGCTATTAAAATCCAAACAGAAAAGTTATTTAAAGAATTCTTTGAACAAGGAAGGGCAGATGCTACGGTATGGTTTCATGCTATTTTCCAGTAAAGGTTAATTTGAAATAATTTAAAATGGAACATGAAATATTGATCTGGGCTCTTCAACAATGCTATTCACCCAAATTTACTAGATTCTTTCTAACGATGCTTACAGAGAAATTGCTTTTTCTCAGAAAAATAAAAATAGAAAATGATAAAACACTGAAACTTTGAGAAACTATGAGAATCTGGTATGAAATCGTACCGTTTTCAGGTGTTTACACTAAAACGTTTCGTACCGTTTTCATTTCGTACCATTTTCAAAATCGTTTTCGTTTTATACAAGATACGATTCCGTTTCAGTGTAAACGTAAGGCCAAAACGGTATCATTTCGTACCGTTTTCATTTCGTACCGCCATAGTGTAAACGGGGCCTGTCTGGCTTCTGCCAGAAAATTTACTCGAAAGAGATAGAAGAACGTGTAAAAAAGGTTTGAAAAATTCATGTTATCATTAACTTTGAAGCGGATCAAGGGAAGCGGTCTGCAAAACCTCTATCCAACAACTCCTAGAGCCCTTATAATAGCAGCATGCATTCCAGTAACAACTCTATCATGCAAACAGTCCCCATCAGACAGTAGCGGCGCCACGGGGGGGGGAGGTGGGACTGTGGGGGAGACGTCCCCCCAGTTCTCAGCAGAATCGATTTTGTATTTTGTCTAAATTCGATGAGAAAATGTTGGGGGAGGGGTAATATTTTGAAACCGTACTTTTTGTGATGTAATCATATGATTTTCAAACTGCCAATTTTCAAACAAAAGTTTGTCATAGGCGTTCCCTTCGGATAAAATTGGCGTTCCCTGTTGGTAAAAGGGCGTTTTCTGGTGGTTAAAAGGGCGTGGCTTGAATCTTTTTTGTTTGTTCCCCCCCCCCCCAGAGCTTAGTGGCTGGCGCCGCCACTGCCATCAGAGTTAAGTTGATTGACACCTACTTGCGTCCAATAAGGTTGAAGAAGGACTTGACTAGTTGGGCATCGTCATTACGAGTGAGATGCAAGTGTAATAGACCCTTGCCGATTTCAGGAAACCTTTGCTATAAATCCAAAAAAGCATCCTCTTTGAAAATTGTCGTTTGATAAACTTTTCTGAAGCATTACTAAAGCATTAGAATTAAAACTTTTGGAAGCATCATGTATCAATTTCAAAGTACAAGTACAGCTAAAGTAAGAATAGAAGGAGACTTTGATTTGTAAATTACATTCTTGTTTAGAAAATGTGTCGCAGGAATATAGCAATAATGGGTGATTTGGTAAATTAAAATGGGCTTGGTTCCCAAATATATTTCCAGGGAGCTGCGCCCAGGGAAATCCTTTACCCCTCTCTTGTTGCAGCTTGCGTTGAGGGCTTTAAGGGCTGATTATTTCACATGCAGAACATTTTTCAAAATCGACAAAATTTTTCCCCTAGGAACGAGATAATAAGAGGACTGGATACAAAGCTTTTAGATTGAAACAATAAAATATTAAGTCTGATACCAAAATTGCAAAGAAGCTGTAATCAATTGACAGCTTCTTACAAAATCTGATAGCGCGATAGGGGGAGGGGGGCGTATTCAAAAGTCGATGCTATAGATAAGGATTTATCCTATATCACTCATAAAATCACAATATTACAATCGTAAATAAAAACCACAAGCATTTCTTCGATAACAAAATCGTGTCTTCAAATCGCTGAGTATCTTTATTATACATATCAACCAACCAAAATATTTGTCCTTTCTTCAATGTTTCTTCCGTCGTAAACCCAAGGTATCAAACTATTTTCGTAGCGATTAATTTCACATGGGAGATTAATGAAGTTATTACCAAAAGGTTATTTTTGATGAGGTTACTGTTATGTGATTTTCAGTCCTATGTTATGATTACAAAATGTTTCAACAAGCCTTTTGCTTTGATATTTCAATATTTAAGCCTCAAAATTCGCAGTTTATTGGTCATAACGATTTCCCTTTGGTATAAAATGTACCTAAATTTGGTATAAAGAGTACTGTAGTTTAAAATAGAGCAGTAATGGCATGTAAGTGAATTCAGAATTGAAAAACCAAACAATTTATACTTGAGCATCAAGTTAACTCATATTTTACCTCAGCATATAAGGACTGATCTGTATTGTTACAATTTTGTTTTAGTACTGCATTGTTTTCAAAGCAAGATGCAACAATACGGTCAAACGAGATGGTGTTATTCAGGAGATGGGTAAGATTATTGAAGATCTCAACGAACAATGGAGTGTGAATTACCACGACCCGGACTATACAATAGCTGTTCACGTTATCACTGTGAGTTGCATATGCATCCTATGTATTTGTGTAAACAATTGAGATCTTTGACCATATAAAAAGGAACATTTGCAGTTTTCAATGGAGCAATCGGGCAGAACTGCAGAACTGGTTTCAATTTTATCAAGTGCCCTTGTATTTATGTATATATGGCAATACATCTTCCAATGACTATAGGAAAGAAGCCCCCCCCCCCTCAAATAAGCTCCCACCTTCGAATGAGCCCCCACCCTAACATGTTAATTTTGCCAGGGATGAAGAAGGATGATTCACCATTTTAAGTCTGATTGGTCACACATTAAGCGGCGAATAAAGAAACTAAAATGAACGAAACATCGATGAAGATATTGCTGAAGACATTGACAATATCAATATTTTGGACCATCATTTCCCTGTGTGCTTTAATTCATTGGAGTGTCTTAGAAAGAGTGTTTTAGTAAAATTGCAAATGAAGTGAGCCTGAAAATCTTGAAAAAAACTACGAAATGAGCAAATTGTAGGGCAAATTGTAGATGATTTTTACCAGACCCTCGTCGAAAAAGGTACCCCCTCCCCCACCCCCAATTAGCTCCATCTAAAAAGTACCTAAACTGATAAGCTCCTAGGGGGCTAATCTGAGTACCCCATTGTAGTTATTTGGAGTTGTCTGTTACTTGAAGATATCTAACAAGTGAGGTTTCACTTGACTGAATGCTTCTTCTACCTTTAACTTACTCTGTTATTTGTTTTTCTACTTTTTAGAATGTCTGTGGGATAGGAATATTGCCACATTTCAAAAAATTCCGAAATTACAATCTCCAGTCGTTTGGGCTGGAAAACAAAGCCAAGGAAAGTAAAGGAAAGACACCAGAAAGCACTGTTGGCTGCAAAGATATGTCTTCTGCGGAAAAGATAAAAACAGAAATGGACGAAGATCGGAACTGTAACAGAGAATGTGAAGAGTCAACAAGGAAAGGGGCAGAAGCTAGAGAAATTTCTTCCATTGAGAAAGTAGGAGCAACAGAGGAGGAAGATCGGAACTGTGAAAGTGACAGGAAAGATTCAATAGGGAAAGATGCAGACAATTTCGATAATTCTACAAATATAGAGAACGCGTCACTGAAAAGTCCAGATGATGAACTGATCAACAAAGATGAAATATCTTCAAACGTAGAAGAGTAAAATTTACACGAAGAAAAATGTTTTAATATGACTTGATAGAATATTAAGCTACCACTTTGACTAGTAATGTGGTAATTTAAGTTGTATTCACTTGAGATTAAAACGTAAACACATCATACCACTTTCTTTTTTCAAGTGACTATGACCATTTTCAAATGCAAAAATTTGAGGCGTAGCAACGTTTTCCACAGTTCTGCTTCAATTTCTTCCGTAAACTCTCTGACATTTAAAACTGTACAAGCTTCTTATCCTTGGCAGATTTCACAATGTATATTTTCAAAATATCGTCCATAACTGACACCACATAAATTCAAAAAGTAGTTTTGAAATTACTGTGCTTGAACTAAAAATTGTACAATCAATTTCATCAGATATTCCAATTAATCTATGCCGTCGTTAGATGACTCATAACAAAAACACTTGTCTGATTTTATGAGTATTCGTATAGATACATTTATATGTATATATATGTATTAGGATAACAAAAATATAAGTATATACTCTTGCTATTTAAAACTCGATACATAAAAACTAATCACCATGAAAACATGTAAAAAAATGAACTTGAAAAGTTACAAAAATGCTTTAAAACGGTTTTACGAATCTTTCACTGTTTAAAGTTAACACGAAAAAACAAAAATCTTTGTAAAATAATTGAAATTATAAACATCGCATAATCGCCTAAGCTTATTTCAAACAGGATAGAACACTGAGTCGTCGTTCATTACCAAACTCGCCAATTAATTTAAAGATACATTAGGTTCACATAAAAACAATTGACAAATCACCTCTATAATAATGAGCAGTTTGCCCTTGCAAATGTCTTTACTTTTATTCAGCCTTAATTTTCTACATTTAAAGACACAGAATCTGGTAAACATCATGTGCAAGAAAAGTCTATACGTCAGATCCAAAGAGCCCGGTAGACTTAAACAAGGGAACCAATGATCCGTGTGCTTTTGAAACCGCTATCCGGACACTTCCATGAATTGTATGGACTTAACCTAGACCGGATCCTGTTTAAAAGTTTAGTGTCCGCTTCAAGGTTGCCAATATTTGAAATGGTTGCTGGTCGAACATCTCACAGTTCACAGTCAAATTCTGGTATTATCCTAATATTTTTAGATCAGATCTGGTCCACGTCTGTCGCACAGAGTCTTTTTTGAAACGTGTCGTTGCATAACGACTTGTCAAATTTCAGTACTACGTGAAATCAGTCCGGCTGGATTATATCGTATTTTTCGTAAGACCAATTAACGCAAACTCTAGAAAATATTTTTAAACTTTTTATCTGAGCAGAAAAACATTAGAATTGGGGTTTTAAAAGTTTTACTTAATTTCGGCAGGATATATACTGACAATCTAGCGATAAACAACATCATATCAACTAAAAGCACACTTTATGAACAAATGTAACTATATACAATGTAAACCTAAAAATGCTGATAAAACTAAATAAATTTCACGCCGTGAATACTTATAGCAGGGAGCCTGCTGGTTTCCAAAACAGAATTCACGATGCCGTGAAACCAAGACAATTCAAAAGAATTGCAATATGATACGCGCTAAAAACAGGCCGACAATGCAGCAGTTATTTAGAAAAGAGTAGGTGCACTACAAAGCTACACACAGTTGACGTCTTTTAATTGACAACAGCAAACTAAATATTGCAAATTTTAAAGCTACCTTCAACCCGTGGCGGCGCCAGCTACCGCACAGTGGGGGGGGGTGATGGGTGTGAGCAGTTATAACACCTTCCTTGTGCCTCATTTCAGTGCATTGGACCTAGTGAATTTTCTTCAGGCGAAAATATGATCTGCCCCTACCAAACGCTTTTTAATCGATTTCTGGAAAAAATGCATGGACCATGTTTGATAAAAAGTGGCCTGAGGGTAATAACGCCATGTACATGGTTGATAGTTTTACAATTTTTTAACCTTCCCACGAATTAACTCATTTTAATGATAAAATATCAATTTGGAAATCAGCTGGACAATTTTATGTGTTTAGGCATGAGCGAACATGTAGTTTCCAAAACCTTAGAAATGATGATGATAAAATTTGATCAAATGACGAAAATCTGTCAAAAAATATTGTCAATAGCTGTTAGCTTTGCAGAATTTGCATGAATCTCGATAAATGTGCTTCAATAAAAAAATATGACATGGTTTATATATTATTAAAAAGGCAGTAAATCTATGACAAAGGGAATGTCATTGAATTTCCGACCGACCACAAGGCATTATTCTAACAATGCACAAATAGATTAACGTTTCTTTAAGACATGCATATTTCTATGTTTCATACAACTTCAGTATCAAAGTCAAAGAGCATTAAAATACCAACCACCCTAAGGCTAACTGGTACCCCAATAACTGCTAAAAATCAAATAAGTAAAAAACTAAAAATTTGCTTATTTCCAACATCTAAAATCATATCCACTCACTTTCTAACGGAATCTAATTATTTCTACATCTTATCCTCTAGTTACCAGTACATTTTCCTACCTAGGCGACTAAAGACCTAGCAACTCTTGTAACATCCGTGTTTGGCAGAACATGGATTGGTAGAATGTTTGATAAGGTAACGCCGTTTTATGCTCCCACTGACAATTTCCCGCAAATGTAGGAAAACTAATACGACTTTGAATAAATAAATATAAACAGTACGGTTTCCTTAACCCACCACTACCTACGCTTTAAACAAAGCATTCAACAAACCTTTAAATTGATGAACCCTTAGACTTTAACAAGGACATATCAACCGTAGCGCATTTCAGTATCAATACGCACTTCACATTCGGCCATCGTCGAGCTGTGGTCAACTTTCATCGTCTCAGGTAAAGACACGGCAGGTTCAACGACTTCAACTGGTAGGGTACACATCTTCAACATGACTATTGCTTTCATCAGCATCAGGAGAACCTACGTTAATGTCAGATTCGTCATCATCATCATCATCGTTGTCACTGCACTCACACTCTGATGACCGTTTACGCTTTACGCTAGTCCCCACGCCTTCTGAGCTCTGTGAAGAAAGTGACAAAGATGGTATTTCTGCTCCACGTACTTCACTTTCTTCTAAATTTTCATTTGCTTGCAAAAAGCTGTGGCTATTAACATCCTCTTCTTGCTCTACTGCAGGAGTCTCTTCTTGCGACATTGCTATTCCCGAATCTTGGCTGCTTTCTGTATCATGTCCATTGAAATATGGATGATGAAGGGCTTCCTGGGCACAGATTCTGTCACCAGGTGCAAATGCAAGCAATCTCTACAAGGTATAGCAACATACAAACTGCAACTACAATTTAATAAGGGCCATAGAAACCAAAAGCTTTTTGAAATCGATAAACGGGTATCTTAAAGGCAAAAACAGATACTCCAATGACTCAAGCCACCTGTCAATAAAAATTGGCCAATCAATAAGCGTTAACCAATTCACACGTTCATTGATTTGCCAATAGTTGATTGACAGCTTGATTGAGCCTCTTTTATAGTATCCGTCGATTGCCTTTCAGGTCAGTATAGTTACAATGCATTTTGTTGATGCAGAGCTATCCTGTTTGAAGATATGGAATTGATTAAGATCATGGTTATTCAATAAAGCGCAATATTATTTATAAGAATTTTCAGCCATGTTTCAACAATTGTTACAGAACAATACAAATCAAAGGAACGTTTTCTTACAGAAAAGCCTATGCTATTTGCATCATTTTGCTGATAAAGGTAATTGAAGATTGATGATTTGGTTGTTCTATTTCGAGCGAATTCGAAAATTTTTTCGTCCACAAGAATTAATCCCTTATTTTAGTGTTAAAGAGGTGATGCTCTTACTCAAAACTCTTTTTATCATCATATAAACGACAGGAAAATATACAATATGGTTCTACCTTGAGTAAAGTCATCCCAGTTTCACTCATTTCTGGAATCAAAAATTTCCATATGTTCTGATCCACTGAGATATAACGTTCGAATGCTGACCAAGGTAAATTGACATCTGCGGGCCATTCTGATTTTGATGGCAATCCAATAACACTTTTAAGAGAAAGAGATGCAGGTATTCAAGTGAATGTTGCTTGCTGTTCAAACTTTATATTTCTTGAATCGATGGCAAAAACAGAATGGATCAAAAAGACTGGCAAAAGCATATCAAAGGGACGACAAGATCACCCAGTAATTAACCAAAAGGTTATTCATAAATCTGACAATCCATTAAAATAAACTGACAAAATGCTAGATTCTCTTAAAACCCCTTTATACTATGCTAATAATCAATGTAAAATGAACTCTGTCTGGCAAAATGTGTTTGTCAAAATTCCCTCAGAATCCAAGTCATATTTGGCCCCACAAAAAACATATACATAAAAGCAAAAAAACTCACGCAAAAATTCTGTTGAGCTGATCTGCATCAGATCGTCCAGGAAAAAGTGGTCTGAACAAAAAGAAAATAATTAATTCCATAGATTGTATATCTCATTAAAAAAATTCTACTGAATTTTTGACACTTCAAATATGGAAGCCTACTGCAGAATAAATGCAGTGCAGTTCTCAATGTTGAATCATCTTAAAAGTTTAACTGAAGAAAAACTACATGCAGAATTGAATTCAAGATTTAAGTCTTGAATAGTACAGTTATTGCTTAAAAATTCATGTGAATAAAGCTGATGTTCTTGTAAAACTTGTCACTCGGCCTAAACATTTCAGGGAGTGTGGTCAGAGAGATTCCCACTATATTGTTACTGATATCGCATTGACATGATACTCTGATTGAAAGAGCTACTTCCTCTCTGGTGAACCTAAACTACCTAACTACAACCAGAGAAACTCCAAAGAACACTGTAAATTGTGATTGTCATCAAACTTTCGGCTGATTACAAAAGACAGTGTCTGTACTAACTGACTAACTGCTTAAAATGGAAAAAACCTTTCACTTCTCCAAATTATTTTTAAAAATATAATAGTTCAATAAAGGAGCATTCCACAAACCATCCTGACTAGTCTTGCACATCCAGTTTAGACTAGGCATTTATAGCATATTTGCATCATTTCTACTTATAATTTTACTGACCTCCTATTAAACATTTCTGCAAATATACATCCAATGCTCCACATATCTACTGCTGTGTCATAGGTTGCCTGCAAAAGTACTTCTGGTGCACGGTACCACAGAGTGACAACCTATCAAAAAAACATAACTAAACATAATAAGAAAATTGAAAAATATAATTATTTGTAAAAAATAGAAATGCTGTTTGCAAAATGGTTAAATTGTAATGATAGAAAATGGAAATTTTCAATGCAAGCATAATTGAGACAAATGAATTAATTGCTCTAAGAGAATAAATAGACATGATGCAAGGCATCTGGAAATAATCTAGAGTGCAACTGGATTAATACAATTTTGTCCAGCAAATCAACTAAGCTATCAAATGATGAGTTACACTATTTCAGATCCCTGGTTTATTAAAAGCATTTGACACAGGTAAAAGTGGCTTACAGCCACTCGACCATGAGCGGTTGACCAATCAAATTGCGCACGGAGAAAAACACAGGAACAGTTTCCACCTTTCTGCATACTGGTGAAATCCTAGAGCAGCGCGCAGTGGTTTCACGTGAGCGGTTTTCAATACCTTTCTTGTGCGCATGCTCTGATCAATTTGGCCTAAGTTATTTTTGGATTCGCTGTACTCATGCAAGTCAAATGCTTTAAGATATGCAAAATTTTCTGCCCACTCCAATAGTTCTAGATTCCGACTGAAAAAATCCAAACAAGCAAAAACTTTGAATATCTTTGATTTGGTTTGATTTTTATTTAATTCAAATTGTACTACATTTCTAAAAAAGCTAGTTTAGTTATATAAATTATAAACAAATCAACTAAAGAACACAACAACAACTATAACATTAATTAAAAGACAAATCGAAGCAGAATTCTTAAAGAGCCTTCAAAGTAGGTTAACTAATGAGATGAAGGCCCCCCTTCTCTTTCAGTTTCTAGAAGATAACTTTTCAAATATTTTTTGAACAAGAATTTAGAAGAGGTAGTTCCTATTTCTACAGGTAGATTGTTCCATAATTTTGCCCCCATATATATCTGCAATATTTTCCAACAAAGTTGACTTTTACAGTTCAGGAAAATTGAGCATCTATAGGTTTTCTTAGATAGATCTGCAAGGCTTGATTAGATCTAATAAAAATTATTTATGAAATTATTTGAAATAGTAAGGAACATCAAAGGAACACCAAAAGACAAAGAATTCTAAGATGCCTGCATAGAAGAAACTATCTAAGCACCAAAGGAGTGCATTGCAGGAGGGTACTTACAACTGAAGTTAAAACCATACAAAAGGAGTAGATCCTAGCAAGTCCAAAATCAGCAACTTTTATTCTTCCACTATTTGTTACCAGTATATTTTGTGGTTTCAGGTCACGATGAACCATACGGTTGGTATGCAAGAAGTAGACTGCATCTATTATCTGTTGCATCATGTCCTAAAATGTGAATCAATAAAAAATCTCCTTAATTGACATATGAAAAAACTATCAAATTCCCATAACTGCAAATTCTTTCATAATGCCAAAGGGGTAAGGAGCATACCTGTCCATTTTCTACTCCTAATAGTGCTAGATCTACGTTCTATTTTCCATTGTTCTAACTGTTACAAAAGTGTGTGGCTCATACAAAATGCCTTGGGCGTTGGCTTGAAAGCACGACCCGATAGCCCAGCGGTAGAGCACTTGACGTACAAAGTCAGGGGTCGTGAGTTCGAGCCTCGCTCGGGTCAGTTATATTCCTGCACTCTCTATTATATATAATATATACAAATAATATATAATTATGTTCAAAATCATCATTGCAAAGACTACATGTTATACTGACATTGGTTACCACAGTTAAGACACTGAAATTGAATGAAAAAAAGAAAATGGGACTGGCATCATGAACTTTTTGCCTTTAACACATTCACAAGCCAAATCTTTTTGCTTATGTGTGATGTTTCCTTTTAACACTTATTGCAATACAAAACGTGTAAGCCAAATTTTGACAAGCAAGAATGAGATGGCCAAAAGAACAGTTCCAAAAAAAGCAAGTGTTTATCATGACAAAGTTTCAACCTCAAAAATAAGATGTGAACCTCTTCTAGTGTGAAAAACACAGTTCATACCTTGATAAGATAATCTGGCAAGCCTGGGGGTGGATGCCTTTCAAGGAACTGGGCCAGGTCTTGATCTACATGTTCAAAAACCAATGTCAAGATACATTCCCTTCGATCAAAAGACCTTGATATTGTTTGAAATACATCATACAGCCTATGATAAAATAGAATTGAGCGAGATATTATAACAGCATTTTTAATGAGTTGAGATTTAGTTAATCTTTGATTCAAGGAAATGAATGAGGGGACCAAAAACAAAGATACCCTTGAGGAAATTTGATAATGTTAGATACCCATTATCAGCACACAATCTATTCATACAAAAACCTCAAATGTAGACAGTCATGATAATGACAGTCAGACAATTTTTCCTTTTTTAATGGAACATTTGAAAGCCAATTGTTGCTTTCATTAATAATGCATATACATGCTTTCGATCAGTCATTAAGTCAGATACTTTCAACTATGGAAAGACTGCCTTACTGTGGAAAGAAAAAAATATACATTCAATCAACCAGGCAGTTAGACAATATCATAGAAACAGGGAGAGCCATGACAGACAATAGCACTATGATCAGGTTGAATATCATAAAATATGAGACTCAAGGAGCTGTTTGACCTGACTGGAGTTGTGCCCATAAGGCTACTATCGAAATGCAAATCTGGACATTATTGATTTCAATATCATGCAGCTTTTACATTAACAATTAGAAGCATTGGTCCAATTCCTGCTCTATGATAAACGGCAGGCATTCTTGATACAATGGTAAACAGTAAGTAGACCATGAAATAAGAATTTAATCATTAAAATTATTCTTTTAGGTGCCAAATTAGTTGAATGATAGTTGAGGGGCTTTGTATGGATCTTGTCCCAATATCATTGCCTCATTGAAATGGAACTGCCTGAATTGAGCCTGAAAAGTGATAAACTTTGTTGGATTATGGGGGCTGCAGCCTTCCCAGCTTTGATGTCTCTTAGTCCTAGGAATATTGTGCCACCTCAGAGAAGGATGATTTGGTTTGAAGTGCAAATGGATTTGGGTCAGTGTGGATCATTGTGGGCTGCTTTGCTATTTTAGAACTTAAGTGTTTTGACTTGGTTTATACAGATTAGAACCAACACCAATCTCAGCCTCCTCTGGTTAGGTTTAACAGGATTATCACACATAGGACTACTTTGTAAACAGCATGTTGTCCCCACTTTACCCTCAATTAGTCGTAAATGAACGATCATAAACAGTTTTGAGATTTGCTTCATTGCCCCTTAACAACAAACTTGCCTATGGGTCGCAAATGTCGTTGCCAAGGTAGACAGATTATCAAATGCAAACTTGACATCAAATTTATTCTTTTAATAAGGGAATGGGAAGTTGAATTTAAAAGCATCATTTTTGAAAATGACATAATTTCAATTTTTCAAAGTTCCTCTTGGGAGGGAACAACTTAATTTATTGAGCTGGTGACCTGGATGATAGACTGGTTCCATCGTGTAACAAGCATAACAGAGACACTGAGAGGGTACAAATGAGGGAATTTTCCAGCCTGGCATATAATAAACTATGGTATAAATCTTGTAGGTTTTTTCATTGCTTTCAGATTGGTAGTTACAAGAAAATCGCTGAAAATTTTAAATGTTAGCCTTTCATGTCGTTTTCATTTTACATCATCCGTGAGAATTCCTTTCCTGGCCAACCTGAACAGTTTCTGACATGTACCAATACAATTCTTTCGCCAGCTTCAAACGAGGTAGACCTACCTCACGACATTTGGATGGGCATCGTTGTCAAGAAGCTTCAGCATAGATATCTCTCGAATTGTTGAAACAGGCAGTCCTTCTTCCGTGGTAGGAATTCGCACCCGCTTCAAAGCAACCATTCTGTCATTGAGGTGGTCTCTCGCTCTGAAAACAGTACCATATGCCCCTCTGCCTATAAGATCCAATTCTTCGTAGTTTTTGGGGTTCATGGCTGAACTTTCCTTCCACTTCTGATTAGACCGCCAGCTTTCAAAACATTCCGAAACTATTAAGGCCTAGGATTGATACGGTGTTGATTTTCTGTCTGCTTGCTTTGCGTTTTTGACATCTCCAGAATCAAAAATACAGAATTCACAATTTTTTCGCTGAGCTTAGGCTTGATGGAAACATCAAAATATGTTTCTGTGGTGTGCTCGTTATCTACGTTATACTGAAGACTGAGCCGACCAAATGAATAACTTTTTTCAAATGCAAATAGAATGCGTGACAGTAACACTCCAACTTGCGCTGAGAGATAAATAAGTGCTGCAAGTGAAATTCTTCCCCTAAGCTCCCTTATGTACAAAGCAAGCAGCAAGGTTGTTTTTTCACCGCCAGAACACTTTATCCATTCCAGCGTTTTTACAGAATCTAGCCTTGGACAGCACGTGCTTTTACGCTTGATCACTTCCTCTTTTCTGTCTTTAATTCATGGAGCGTGATCAATCTGATTGGCTTATTTGCATTCTCCAAGTAGTTTTGTTGTGTGTCATATCTATGTAGGGAAACGCCCGGCAGAGGTAGGAACCGGGGGGCATTGGGTGCATGTGCTTCTACTTTGAAAAAGTGCCTTCAAAATTCCAGAAAGTGCCCAAAAAACTTTCAAACTTGCACTTTGCTACCTGACGAAAAAACTTTGTGTCTTCGCAAAATCACAGAAAACAAACCCCTCTTTTGATTTGCCAGAAAACAAAAGGACTGTTCTCTGTTACCTTGTTAGGAGCCCTTTCCTCAATCTCTGTCTGCAGATGCCCTACCAGGGCCGTAAATCCCGGGGGGACGGGGGGACTGGACCCCCCAAAAATCTGGAGCAAAACGATTTTTTTGATAAATTATCATCATTTTCTTTGAAAGAAAAAAATCTCTGGTAGCCGGGTTTGAACCAAACTACGTTTTTCTGTGTTATTGCAACAAACCTCAGCCACTAAGTCATGGTGTCAAGTGCAAGTTGACTTATTCTGATAGCCGTTATTTTTGTAAGCAGAGTGGTTTTTATCTGTTTTTTACCGTTTTTTACCGTTTTATTTTTGAAAACAGAATATGAAATAAAAAGAAAGCAAAATGATATTTTATTTGACCTATTTACCCACTTATTTACGCATATTTCTATTATTTGTTTATTATTTTCTTTTATTTAGTAAATCAATTTCTGTATCATTAGAATGTATTCATTTTTGATGTGTAAACATGGCCTACTTAAAACACTAAAAATAAGGAAGGCGCACACTTCTGTTCAGGAAGTAAATTTCTACCAATCAATACAACTGCGTCCCTGCTTTCCCCAACGTCTGTCACTAGAGTTTTAAGCATGACTACCCTACACAATTTCGCTCAATAAACAATAATCTGTGTTCTTCTGAGAATGTTGAATTTTCTATCCTGAGCGATCTAGTATTTTATTAAATTTAGTCTGGGGGATGCTTTCTTAACCTTTCTAGAAGGTATAATTTCAAAAAAATTCTTTTGCGTCGGACCCAGCCATGGTGGGTCCCCTACGTCACTAAACTTGATTCTAGCGCCCAAGGTTCAATTTCATTGGGCCGTCTCTGAAAAATTTTATCTATCAAATTATACACACAAGTCAGATGTACTAAGTCTTAAGAAATCCCAAAATCTTGACTTTTTTGCTTTTCAAGTCATTTGCCCCTCGACTGTTTCCATAACACATACCATAAATTGCTTGGTGGTGCCATGAACCACGGCACACTTTAAATTGATTTGCTCTGCTGACCCCACTGTTCACATGACAGATTTACGGCCCTGTGCCTCACATAATTTCTTCAAAGTAAAGTTTCATGGAAAAGGAGAATCGAGGGGCGATTCCACTCTTGCAAATAGCGTACGAGATTTTGCCTAAAACAAAAGGATTTCTGGGGATTTTCAGATAAAACAATAGGATTTTCACGAAAGGTGTACAAGATTTTCTTAGAGTGATTTGCCCCCCGGGGGAATATCTATAGGTTCGAAACTTAATTGAAATCTGAAGGAATGTAGAGTCTCTTGTTTCTTCCGTTTGGATGAGCAATCATAACGCAGTTTTGTCATTCTGTGATCGGATGGTTATGAAAATTGGCGATGGCAATGTAAGGAAGAAGGTGAGGAGTTTTCTGTATCACGTTTTGTCCAGAAAGATAGAAGACTTTAATTCTGTTTGTGTGAATGAAGGAAAAGCCACTGTAGCAGGCTGCTCGACGGGCTCCAAGGAGTCAGGGACGAAAACAAGTTGCTAATTTTGGAGGGGCGTGGAAGGATGAAATTCCAACTTTAAGTGAGAAATTTTTCATTCGACCAGTAAATCTACTGTACCTACCGAATTGATATTTGTAAATAGCTCGAACACCATAGTTCTATTTTCTTTATAATTACCAAAACTCTACTCAATAATTAGCCTAAATCATTAAAGCCCAAATCTCTAAATTTTGATTAACATGAAACAAAAAATTAAACTTACTGTAAGATGTAAAGCAACATCTAAGCAAAACCAGTATTAGATATACTTAATGATTAGTAGTATTCTTTCAGGTCAATTGATCGATTTTATCTAAATTGATCAATTGACCAATTGATGCAGATCAATTTTATGTAAAATACATTTTTTTCACGATATAGAAGCACTAAGAATTTGAGCCTTGTTCTTGATCGAAGAAAAACACTAACAATTTTCAGAGGGCCAAATGCCTTTTTGTTCTTTACAATTGAAATGCTGATTTGAGAGCAAATTTGTGCATATGCCTGATTCGAAAGATGAAACACTCTTCTTTGATCAAATACTTCTACTGCAGCTTTTGCAATGTGTTCTTGCTTCACAGCAGTTTTGTCATAGGAATTTATGATAAGGAGTCAAACAAATAACAGGGGGAGTTTAGCATAAACTCGTTTTCTATAAGAAGCGTTAAGAATTTTTAGTACTAAAGATTCTTAATCTTTTATTGAATGAACTACTCGTAGTTTCTTAAAAAACTCCCACTCTAATATCTTCTGATCAATACGGGTATTATTATTCCAAACTGTAAAGTTTCAAGTTTCTTATCCGGAAATTCACCTTGCCTGTTCGTAATATGATTCAACTCCCGTCAGAAAGAAAGCAAACGGGGCAATTGTGCAATTTGGGTCCAGTGAAGAGGGGATTCACAATAGAAAACGATTAGTAGATGGGTCAGCTTCAGCCTATGAATTTAATGTTCAGAATTTTTACATTAAAAATAAAAAAACTTCTTGAAATATAAATTCACAAGTTTGGTCTTAAAGAAGAAAACTCCAAGTCAACCGTTAAGTTTTCCAACTGTAACTGGATTTTCCAAACTTTGGGGGGCGTTACGCCCCCCTATTATTTACGTGCCTTCAAGGAGTTCTTGCGGCGATGCGAAAAGTCGATAAAAATGTAGCAAATATGAAACACCGCAATACGCCGAGAATAAACAACAATAAATACAGGTAAATCAGTAAAGGCTAATATTTCGCCCCGGCATACGGGGCTTCATCAGAGAAAAAATTGACGGGCTAAAAATTTACATTTACATTTAAAAAAGGCGATGGTGGTGTCGGATTTGCTGATGTGGAATGGTGTGAATGCAGCGCAGTGGTAGAGGAGGGAAGGGTGGCGAATGAGAGAGGGTGGGTGATGGTGATGGAATGAAAACGCAATGGGGATGAAGTACTATAATATGAAATGATGATAATGTTGCTGTAAGGTTAACGGTCAGTGGTTCTGTTCATGCCGTTCGGTGTGAGAGTGTTTGCCAGGCCAATGAGGTATTGCTCTTTGGCTCGTTGAACACTCTCTCGTTTGTCATTGAGTTTCAGTAATGGTGTTACAGTAAGGTCATTGATGGTATGTTCTGGGCTACAGAAGTGTTCTGCAACACCAGATTTGTCTGCTTTTTGTTGATAATGTCTCGTCTGTGTTTGTTTTTGTGTTTGCCAGTCTTTGTTTTATGTCGTAGTTTTTGTCAGTGTTAGTAAAGTTAAAAGAAGTAGAACTGTCTGTGATGTGTCATCATCATCATAATCGTCACCACCAACAACACCACCAACGACATAGCACTATTATAGATGCTTCAATGCAAAACCTGACAAGAGAACTCACATATGTCAACTATACACCGGAGAGTAGTGCCGCCAAAATAGCTAGGGGGCTCTTGCACAAAGCGCTGCGAAGTGGTCAGGGATGTAGCCTTAAAATTTTAAAAAGGGGGGCTCCATGAAATTTCTAAGTCGCTCTTGTCATGTAATTATTGCAATTTGAACGTGGTGAGGGTTGACGTTATTCCTAACATTGGTTGTGCAGCCCGTTACCCATTTACCCTGTGCGAGCGGCAGCTGAGATGAGAGCTTCGATACTGTGGTAAGAATAGGGCAGCGCGATACTTTGTTGCAGGTGAGGAGGCAAAATGTTTATATTGGTCAGGGGTCAGTAAAAGCCACCACCTTGGTTGGCGGACAGAAAAATTTTGAGATATGGCCTTTTAAGAATGGCAA